TCATTATTTATTGTGACGTTGAAATGTTCCCTGATTTGGCTAATGGGATCCCCCTTCAAGCTGACTTCTGTGTTCTTTTGACACATCAGTTTTGAGCACTTTCTACTTTCTAGCACAACAAGATGTCTCAGGCACATCTTGTTCTTTTCTTGCTCTAGCCCTTGTGTCAGCCATTTCTCCAAGGAGCCCTAGTTCTTTTTAACGGAGAATGGGGTTTGGAAGCCAAGATATGGACTCAGATGTGCATTCATTGTTATTGGGGCATCTCTGCTCACAAGCCTTCTCGATGAAAAAGCTAAGAAACACATGCAGGTATGTGACATATACGCACTTTACATCCAGTTTACTCCTATACATTTATTGAAATCTGTGAGTTCACATACACACCTCTAATTCCAGTCTCATACCAGAGGATTCATTCTAAATTTTCCCCCTTTCCATATTTGTAATTCCCTTCTCTGACAGTGAGAAATCTGGCTTCCCTTATCCTCAATATATTTACCTATTGCATCTATCCCCCTGTGTAACCAAACTGCCATTGCTACCACTCCTTCCCCGCAAAGATGCCCTAATTCCTCACTTGAGCTCTGATGCCTCGTCCCAGGCTGCCCTATTTCATGGAAGCCTTCCTTACTGCACTAGAGTACCAATAACCTAACCTAGGTGCACAAAAGCCCTTCTTTCCCTGCTTGGGTTCTGACACCGCACACCCAAGCACTCTGTGTGGATACCTTCTTCACCCCACTGGGACTCTGAGACCCTGCACTAGGCTGCCCTTCTTCATGGATATTCTCCACACCCCTTGTGTTCTGAAGTCCTGCAGCAGGCTTCCAACCTGAACAAAAGCCCTCCTCATCATGCTTGGACTCCGAAACAGCCCTCTCAGGCACCCTCACCCCACATTTGCTCCAACATCCTGCTGCTTGGGGGCTGCCCCTCCAACCAAAATGCTGTTTTTACCGACCTTGTGCTCTGACGCCCCCCTATGTAGATGAGGGGGCTCACCTTGCATGGGCTCTGGCACCCCACACCAGGGTGCCCCTTTGTGAGGACGCCCTCCTCGCCCCTGCTGGCTCCAACACCCCGTTCTGAGCCCCCCATGCCTACCCACCCTGCATAGACTCCTACTTTATTTAGCCACACCTAATGGCTTTAGGGCTGAATTATTCAGAAAGGGAAGAGAAAAAAACATACAGCTGTTTTTACAAGAAATCATTGTCTTCTGTTATTAAGACTTTACTTTTGACCCTGTATATAGAACATGACTTAGCTCAATCACTCATGTAATTTTTCCTTTAAACCAATACATCTCATAAAGTATTGAGTTTACTTAAGACAATGCTAATTTGCCCACGATTTATGATATCTCATATCACTAATTTATACAGTTTCTCCAACATTTGTTTCAAATCACAACCTCAGTTAAAGATGTTTTTGGGACTTCCCTGGTGGTCCCATGGGTAAGACTCTGTGCTCCCAATGCAGGGGCCCCGGGTTCGATCCCTGGTAGGGGAACTAGATCCCACATGCACACTGCAACTAAGAGTCCGCATGCCACAACTAAGAGTCCGCATATCGCATCTAAGAAGCCCGCATGTTGCAACTAAGAAGCCCACATGCCACAACTGAAAAAAGATCCCACGTGCCACAACTAAGACCCGGCACAGCCAAAAACAAATAATATTAAAAAAATAAATAAAGGTGTTTTTATCCAAAATCCTCACACCTTTCCTGCCACCCTGATCTCTATGCAATTCTCAAAATAGCCAGCCACTCCTGCCTTAGGGATTAGGGCGTCTGCCAGGTTGTTCCTCTCCCGGAACACCTTCTCCTCAGATGTCCCCATTGCTCACTCCAGTGACTCAAGTTTTTGTTCAGATGTCACCTTCTCAATGAAGTCTACTCTGACAAGCTTATTTAAAATTGCAACTGCCCCCATCCCATTTTCCCTGCTGCTTTCCATAGCGCTCCCCACTTTCTAATATACTACTGATATACTTCTAATACTACATATTATGTTTATTTTTCATTGTCTCTCTTCCTACCATCTCCACTAAACGGTAGCTCCGCAAAGGCAGAGATTTCGAATATTTTGTTCATTACCTAATAAATATTTGTTGAATGACGACAGCCATTTCCTGAGGTAGTTTGAATCCTAAAACTAAATTCAGAGCACCACCTAGTGTTCTTAGAAGGATGTCCTGATTAACTCTGAGACTTCTCTGCATCAGCCATGATATAAACAGTACTGGTTTAATCAATTCTCTGTAACTGTTTTTTCACTGCCCTCTGTGGTTCCATAGAAAGTAAAATGATTTCAGTGATTAACCTGTCATGGGACTTATTGGTTTCTCTAAGAGCAATCTCTTCTCCACTGACTTGCCTATTGCTCCCCAGAACTTCTGGGAAGTAGGAATGTCGTGAAGATCTTATATCTTTTAATCTGAGGGCATCTCCCCTCCCCACACTGCCAAAAACCAAAAACCAGAAACAGGGTAATAGCCTTTGCTGGTTTGGTACCTACACCATTTCTCCAGAATATCACAATATATATATATTGATTAAAAATTTTTTGATTTGACCACAAAAGCCCCTAGATCAAAGTGATAAAACACTAGCAAGGGTAACGGTAATATTATTTAAAATAGTATCAGGATTCTCTAAGACAATGAGGACAATCTTCTGATTTAGAAAATATTGGCTTCTTTAGTTATGATAAAGAGGGAGAAATGAAGAAAATGAAAGCTACCTTAAAAGCACTGAAACATTTAATATTGGTAAGTCATGAAGGGAACACTTAGCTGATTTTTACTGGATGCTTATTGGGCCCAGCACTATTCTGAAAGCTCATTAATCATCTTCCCGACTCTATCATGTAGGTTCTCTATATTAAGCCCCATTTTTTAGATGACGAAATGGAGACACAGAGAAGTTAAGTAACTTGACTCAAGTCACAGAACTAGTAAAGAGTGAGGCCAGGATTCAAAGCCAGCTAGGCTGGCTCCACAGTCCATGTCCATGAGCTCATGCCCATGTATTTATTCACCTCCCAACAGAAACAGGAATGATGCTGCTTGGTTTCACAGTTCTTGGCTTGGTCAAAGAAATTAGTTTACAATGTCCTCATCTTCCAAAAATGAATCAAGGCAACCATAAAAGAAACAGGCACATACAATTATCCTAGAAATAAAGTTTCATTCTTTTCACAGTCAAGAAAGTAGAAGCTATGGAATTTGCCTTTCCAAGGATTTATGTTTTAGCCACAAATTTGCAATCTAAGGATGCTGTGGCAAAGAGCAAAAGCAACATTAATATTAAGGTCAAAGACTAGAGGGTGGTTTGCAATGGGCACAATGAAGAATCAGTTGGTCCTGGCTGCCCACCCACCTCTTTTGGAACACACTCCTCAGAACTTTTGATTCTACCCCCCAATTGCCCAAAGCTTCTCCCCATTCGACCACTGGTTCAAATGTTTTAGAGTCGATGGAATGACTCAGGTTCCCAAAATATCAATTAATATACTCATTTCTTGAATTTGGTTCATCTCAGCTGAATGCTAAGAAAACAGCTGAATTATCTGTTAAAGTGAGTCTCATTAAGGAGTGATTTATTAGGTAACATCTAGAATTATTTGCATTATATATTATACTCTCAAAATGAGCATGAATTACCCCAGAATTTCAGATTGATGGAGTCTTTCAGGGGATGTTTGTAAGTGGGAAGATTCCCAAGCTCTCTAGGTGATTCTGGAAATGGTGCCCCTCTCACCATCCTCAGCTGGAACCAAAGACTCTTTCCTAAATATTTACTTGACCCTTTAAATTTTCTAAAATACAAGGTTATTTGGTAAAGGGAAATGGTTATTTTCCATTTTGGATAGAGTTTTTCAACATGTGGTTTGAGGATGACCTGCTTTGGATTCACCTGGGAGAGTCCCAGTCCTACCTCTGACCTACTGCATCAGAATCTTCAGCTGGGCTCAGTAATCCGCATTCTAACAACCTCCCCCAGATGACTTTTATGTGTGCATAAGTCTGGTAACCACTAACCTAAGGGGATAATTTTAAAAGGTAAAGCACCAGTGTCATTTGGGTTGTTGGATTCTTTCCTATTATATACCGCAGACCAGAACTTCAAGAGGTATCATGTAAAAACTTAATTATAAGAAGATCAAATATAATTTTAGGAGACTAATAATTAACAAATCTACTTACAAGACTGTATGTCTTTTTGTTGTAAATTATATTGTGAAACGTCTCAATGAATTCTTTGGTGGATGTTGTTTAAAGCTGCCTTGCCTTCCATAAAATTAACCTGCTAGCCAGTTTTTACTATGCTACCCACACAAGGCTCCAGTAAACCTTGAAGCATTCTCTGAACAAGCCTCATTTCCTGTATAAAAGGAACCGAGTTTGGTCAACTATACAGAACTTAGGCTGATTAAACTTAAACTGGTTATCAAAGGAGACTGCAATTCTGCAGTTTTAGAGGTGTTTTAAAATAGGAAATACAATCATTTTTCTGGTTGAGCAGAGTGAACAGTAGCCTAAAGCTAGAGGATCCAAATGGAAAGCCTTTTAAGATTCTTTCTAGCTTTATAATTTGACTAAACTGCCTCTCCACCCAATTGAACGTGAAGTTGTTTTTGTTTGCTTTGTTTTTTAATCAGCTGAGCCTGGCAAGAATTCCTTGCCTCTCTCTGATAATACAATAGCCTCTTGAGAATCCTTGCACAGTTTAGGTGCACGTAACATACAAAAAAGGAAACCATTTAACTTGATGATAATACCCCACCCAGATAATTCAGATACCTAAGATAATTTTTCATTAGAATTATTTAGTTTGGCCAAGTTAACTGGCCGAACCCCTTCAGCTGCACCATATAACTCTTCTTCACTTTGTTTTCACGTATCATTTACTCCTGATTCTTATCAATTGTCACTAACTTTCTTCTTCTTCACTTACAATCTAATTACAGTTCAACCAAGAATGTTACTTACCCTGAAAGTCTTCCTTCTTTATAGCCAGGTTGCATGCCACTGTGCTGATAGATGAGAAATGTCGAAGGCCAGAGTTGTATTGCTGAGATCTGTATGATGCCGGGTACATCCAAGCAGCTGGGAACCAGTAACACTCTAAGAACTGACTCCAAACCACCTTTCAAAAACTAAAGATCTCTTCTACAGGGTGACTAGTTGATAAACAATCTAAGGGGAGAGCTCTTATTGAAAGTTTATTGAAATCTAAGGATTATTCTGTGAAACTATACTGCAAGTCTACCTGGTAAAACTTTAAAAACTTGATTCTATTTGTCCTTCAAGAGATCATGGTAAAATCTAGTATTTGAGTTTAAAATAAGTAACTTCCATTCCCGTTACTGTATTTGGATTTGTTCCACTGTACCTGGATTTATTCCAATTTATCTGTGGAATCGGGCAACTAATAATTTTTATTCAGCATTTCTTATACTTCTTGAATGAAAATGGGATGGATTGGTGGGATTAATGGCTATTTAGAAGACACTAGTGATTCTGCCATTTTCTCTGTATAATGATTCTTCTCTAAGGAATGTGGACATATAGAGATGGACAAAAGAGGCAGAAGTTCTAATCCAGACCGAGTTCTAGAAGTAGAGCTTCACTTTTCTTTCCTGTAAAAAAAGTTAGAGGCTGAAGAAGCTATTTAAAGATTCTTCCAAAACTTTAACAGAAATGCTAATCAGTTACCAGCATAATAAATCAGTGCACCCTGACTTTAAAAAGATGTTTTGTGATTTATAGGAAATATGGAAGTCTGAATTGTGGCATGTCAGTCTCTCAAGGCCAGGTAAGAACTGACGAATTGGCAGCAAAGTCATGTTTTTAACTGAATATACTGATATGCAAGTGCTCAGAAAAAAATCTTACGGAGACTACTGTCCACGAATTTACCAGAAAGCCAAGTTAACGACACAACTGATCGCTCAGATCTGAGTTAGCCAGCACCATTTTGCTGGAGAGGGGAAACTGGCCGCTTCAGGCAGGTTTGGGAAGGTTATAATCTGAGGAAACTAAAGAAGGCGCCAGCAGGGAGGTCTCCTTCATGGTCTGTGACGAAAAACGTTGCGGGAGTAGTCAAACCGCCCCAAATTCCCCAGTGCTGTCCTCACTCGAGGCTCTGGTTCCAGGAGACGTACGCCTTGCTGGGGGAAGACTGTCCCCTACGATTTACAACCAAACGCGCGGAAGCACGGCTGGCGCCCGAGGGGCGCAGTAAAACCCACCTCCGCCGCCTCAGAGGCCCAAGCTCGCAATCAAGCCCCGACCAGTGAAGGAACCTCCGGGCCAGCCCCGTCGCGGTGACGGGCGTCACCGCGAGCCAATGAGCGCGCCGGGAGGCGGAGCAGTCAGGCCAAGGGGGCGGGATTTCCCGCGCGGCAGCGCAGCCCCTTGGCGCCCGGCGAGGGCGGCAGACCCATCGAGAGAGGGCGGGTCGGGGTCAGCTGCTGCAGGCGGGCGGGCGCGGGAGCTGTGGGCGGCCGCCGCCTCGTCTTTTGCTGCGGCCCTCCCTCCGCCACGATGCCGGGGATCGACAAGCTGCCCATCGAGGAGACGCTGGAGGACAGCCCGCAGGTAAGGTGCGGGCGGCGGCGGGCTGCGAGGGAAGGAGCGGGGCTGGCCGACCCCAGGCCTGGCGCCGCCGCGGCCGCAGGTGCCAGCCCTGGCCTAGGTGGGCGCCGCCCCCAAGTGCCCCCGCCGGTAGCGGGCGGCGCCCCGATCGCGGAGGCCGGGCCGCCCTACCGAGGCCCGCGTGGGCCTGCTCCGCTGGGCCGAGAGCCGCGCGCGGGGTCTGGGACGTCGGCAGGCTGCGACAGAGCCGCGGCCGCCTTGGCTCGTGGGCCCGGCGGTCACATACGCGCGCGGGGCTCCCTTGTATTTGACAAAAGATGCTTTATAATCGCCGTGATGTGAGGTGGTAAATCCCGAACCTGGAATTTTCTCTTCGAAAACCTCTTCGGAGAGAATGCAGAAGGAGAAAAGACCCCGTAGACTTAATGATTTCTGACCAAGCTAGGGAAGGAAATGGATAATTTTGGGGGGGGAGTTGCTGAAAGGCTGTTGATATGCCCGTGCGTAGAGTCCTCGGCGAAGCCCGTCAAGGGTCCCGGAGCCTCTCGGCCGAGTGTCGTGGCCGTGAGTGTAGCCGCTGTCACTCGGACCATGCACGCCGAGTGGAGGACGGCGCCTTCGCGGCTCCACGTCTGCTGCGCCCTCGTTGCAGACTTGGCTTTAGTGAACTCATCAAAATAAAAGCCCTGTGTTTTGTGCGTTGGGGATGATGCTAGTGTGGTTGCTCTAGCTTAAGATAGTCTAGGAACACGTAACCATTACTGATGTTTTCAGTACTGAAGAATGAAATCGGCGATGTTAAAAACCATGTTGGTAGGCGCTGTAACTTGCGTTGAGAAACTTCATCCCTAGGTCTGTCTCTTACACAATAAGGGATTTCAGACGGTGTTGCTGGTTGGCTACCACTTAGAATGAAGAAAATTTTCTGAAATGTTCATTTAGAACTACAACTGCACATATTTCATGTGTCTTGACGGTTTAATATGACTCCAAATGAACAGAAGGGAGGGGCTGGATCCCCCTTTACTGTATGATATGTCTGCCATGGATGTGGTGCCAATTTTGATTGCCAAGTTGAAGTTGGGCTCTGATTGTGGAATTGATTTGTTTTTTTTCACGCTGAAAGTTATCTTCACAGGCCAGTTCCTGCTGGTAATGTACTCTTATCAGCCTGTATTGACACAAAGAGAAACTGACTTCTTGGCTTATTTTGACTGCCAGAATAGCCAGTTCAAATGCTTAACGATTTCTGTAGTATAAAGTCATAAGCTACATTTGTTTCAGATGTTTAGCAAAAATTTTGTGGGATGTATTGCTCAGGTGTACTTTTGTCATTTTACTTTTTTATTTTATAAGACTCAACAGGTGCCTTACCTTTCTTCTCATACCTGGGCTCGCTTTTATAGCTCATAAAGACTACACACTGCTCAGAATGGGTTACACAGTGCCCTAGCCATGACTTAGGAGGGTATAATCTCTTGACTCATCTAATTTCTTGGACTTTTCACACAATTAGTTTACAACTTGAGCTTCTTTTTTTACAAGAATGTGCTGTATTAGTATTAGTTTTATGGTAATTTTTAATGAAATAGCCATGTTGATAGTCTTTCAATTTCTAGAAGTAGTAAATTTGAACTAGTTAATGTTTACTTGGGAAGATTAATTGGGACAACTGGGATTTAGAAGGGTAAGACACTGAGAAGCAATTCTTGGGGAAAACCTGTGGCAAGATGGAAAGCCCTGGATTGGGGATTCAGGATATAAGGGTTTTAGTCATTACTGCCGCTTAGTACCTTCTACTTTAGGGCAAGTCACTTAACTTCTCTGAACTTCAGCTGTTATAGATAGTGAATGTTTTAATCTTTGTACTTGATTATAAAAGTAATAGTTGTTTGCTTCAGAAAAATTGGAAGATACAGAAAGCACACAGTTACCTGTCGTGCGCCCAGCAGCAAACTCTGTTAACAGTTTGCTTTCTTTTTTCTAGTTTTTTTCTCTTACACATTCTAATGTGATTGAGATTATATTGTGCATAATGATTTTTATTTGGCTTTAACTACACATTGTAGCTTATGTACCTTCACACGTTATTACATACTGAATAAAAAATTCAAAGGTTGCACATTTCCTTGACTCACTTAATATAGTTGTCCTGTTGTTGGACTTTTAGAGTTTTTCCCAAGTTTTGCTGTTATATATAGTGCTAAGATTAATGCTTTTGGGCATCAATTTTTGTTCTCATCTGGACTATTTATCTAGGATAGAGTCCAAGAAGTTGAGTAACAAAGAGGAGGAAAACTTCTAAAGCTCCTGATAGAGATGTTTTTATTAGATTATTTGATCCTAGTCAAAAATGGCCTGCCAGTTGCTGTGTAAAAAAGTTAGAGCCTGGGAGTCTTGAAGGACTACGCTGAATTACAATTATCCTTTTTTAGTTTTAATTTAAAGTAGCGAAGTATTAAAATAGGAGTATATTTGCAAGTCCAAATCCAGCTGATTGCACATAAACATCTTTAGAATTATCTTGCACAAACCATACCATTCTGCAAAAGATACCACGTTGAAGTAGGAAATCTTAAGACTATACTAGATGCCTTATCAATGCTTATATATTGTTTTGAAAATCAGAAACAAAATTAAACTTTCTATTTAGTAAGAAAAGATATGATCTTTAAAAACATAACTGATTTTATATGTAGATAACAATCTTATCAATGATCCATCTAAGCTAGAACTGTGAAGGCAAACTCCAATCCCAAATGGAGGCTTTTCTCTTTGGCATAATATGAAATACTCAAAGATTATGAGATGTACTTTTTTTAAATTCACATTTTGACATCTCTTATATTGAGATGCCCCTTACAGTTGATGTTGTTTTACTTGTAATTGCCTGCAAATGTACACACTTGGTTATTTCTCCTAGTGACGTGAGTGGCTAAGTGCAGCCTTTTAATGTTCAGCCAACAAATCAATTCACAGCCACTTGAAGGATTATCAGTCTTGTTTTTGTCTGAAAATATTTCTTTGACAGCTAGTAACATGAAGCAAGTGCTGCCATCAAAACTTGCTGAGTGGGTATCAATAATTTGGAAGAAAATATTGGAGATAAAAGTGGAGCACTTCTGAGAAATATTTGTCACCTGCTCGTGGCACAGAATAATACTGGATGTGAAAACATGGCTAGCGGTGTCTCTTATGTCAAAAAATTACCCACAAGAGTTGAAATTTTAGGGTTATATTAAACTTGTGCAACTTGTGTTTTCTTTTTTGTGTTTATATGAGAGTTATATAAAAAATTCTGTCAAAGATCTGTTTCCATAAATATAAAGTAAAAACTTCAAGACATTAGAAAACCTGAATTCATAGCTTAATTGCCAGCATTGTTTTGTTTGTGACAGTAGTATATTAAACTGGCACAGCTCACAGTGGATGCCGTCATAGATTCAATGAAATGGTACCATATTGATTGCATTTTTGTAAGCTGCTAACTTTAAACAGTCATTATACAGTGTTGAACTCAATCTTATTAGCTTTACATAAGAAAGCTGTTTCAACCCTGTTTGAGGCTAAGAACATCTTTTTAATATAAGTCCACTACACATTTTTGCATAAATGTGTTATTCCTTGAATTAGAATGCTAATTTTTGAAGAAAAAAAATGTAAGTGGCACACTTTTCTTAAGAATGGCACTAGCGAAACAAGATTTCATGATGCTTTCTTTTTTACATCTTAAAATAGCACTTGGGGAATGGCAGTAGGGCACTAGAGCTAAAAAATAAAAAGATTCTGCCAGATCTAAATTTCTGGGGCATTGGGAAGTAGAGGATTGAGATAACTTGGACTTCATATACTGGCATAATGATTTTGCGCTGCTTTTTAAAACAACCATAGTGACTTAGCTTTCTCTTCTGAAAGTAGGAAGCTAAGGAATAAGTTGATTTTTAGAAACCAGCTTCTAAGGCTGAGGTATAAATTAACTATTTGTAGAATAAAAGTACAAGGTCATCTTTTAGATTTTAAGCTGTAGTTATCTCAATAATTGTTGGAATTTAATTCTTATCCTGCCTTTGGGATATAAAAAGGTGAACATACTTTGCCTTTATGCTGAGTTTCCTTATCTCTGATCCTTTTTATTGACAGTCTTAACATTTACTGACTGACAAGTTTTTACTCTTAAAGTGAAGGTAATTTTTACATGCTTATGCTCATTGTGGGGGGAAAAAAAAAAGCCTAACAACATAGAAATGTATAAAGAAGAAGGAAAATGATTCCAAATTCTGCACTCAGAAAAAACCTAGTTAGCATTTTACAGGCCATGTTGGGGAGGGGAAGGGGTACTATGGTGTTATTTTGGATTATGATGGGGAGGGGGTTGGCACTACTAGAAGAGACTATGGAGAAAGAGAAATAACCAGGGACTTCCCTGGTGGCGCAGTGGTTAAGAATCTGCCTACCAATGCAGGGGACACGGGTTCAATCCCTGGTCCGGAAAGGTCCCACATGCTGTGGAGCAACTAAGCCCGTGCACCACAACTGCTGGGCCCACGTGCCGCAACTACTGAAGGCCGCGTGCCTAGAGCCTGTGCTTCGCAACAAGAGAAGCCACTGCAATGAGAAGCCCATGCACCACAACGAAGAGTAGCCCCTGCTTGCTGCAACTAGAGAAAGCCGCTGGGCAGCAATGAAGACCCAACACAGCCAAAAAAAAAAAAAAGAGAGAGAGAGAGAGGGAAATAATCATACTAAGTTATCCTGAAAAAAGATATTTAAAATATTTATACATAGAATACTGTTAATATAGCCTTGACTGATTCTGTAGATTTGTTCTTAATTACAGACTTTTTAATTCATAAAAATATACCTTTGTTGTTCCTTCTAAGGTTTATATAACACAGTTGGAAAATCTATCTGTTTTAATGAAGTGAAATTGAGAATAAAGAACCCTAGCATCTTGGCATTACTATCAAGAGAGAGAAAATAGATCAAAACTCAGAATTGTTAGAGTTCTGATATCCTGTGATTTTTGCATCTTTTAGGAAAAAAAGATTTCCACTTGATTTATATAATCGTTAACATAAACTTACTGCTTTTATTTTATACAGACAAGGTCTTTACTGGGTGTATTTGAAGAAGATGCTACAGCTATTTCCAACTATATGAACCAGTTGTATCAAGCTATGCATCGGATTTATGATGCACAGGTAAAGAACTAAAGGCTGACTCAGTGCATTTGTAAAATAAATCTTTAAGCCCATGAGGACAGAGATAGTGTCTGTCTTATTTACTGGTGCCTAGCCCTGTCCAGGGTGCATAAGTAATAAACATTTGTTGAATGGATGAATGAACATTAAGTAGTTTGTATTACAGAGCTTACATTTCAATTACTAGTGTATAGTTTGTAGCACTACAAAAGTGATGAAGATTGAAGCATCTGCTCCTTTTCCCCAAACATAGTAAGGACTTTCTTAGTGAAACTCATTGATAGTGATCTTTGCGTAAGATTTGACTTAAAACCCTGTATTGTCACCAGTATTTTCCCTAATCATGCTTTTAATCTTATGGGATACTTCTCCTTTTTGAGCAGAGGATTTGTAAGTAGCTAGCCTCTATCTAGTTAGAAGGTAATAGATATAGCTCTAGTAGATATAGCTATATCTATAGAGTAGATATAGCTCTGGGGTACTAGGAGATGAATTTTAAAAGGATATGACTAGATTATTTTGGTTGAACAGGCATAAGATTTGAGGCTCTGTTTTTGTAACTTAATTATAAGCCTTAACAGCAACCTGGGTTCTATGATAAACTCTCTTTGGGATTAATTAAGTGTACAAGTTTCTTTTTTGCCCCTTCTCAATTTCTCTTCTTTCTGGACTCAAATTTTCATTATGTACTTTACAGTTACTGTAATAGTTACTTATTTATTTTTCTTAGTGATAGGTTGCTCAAGAATTTGATTTCTGACCACACAGATTAATATGTAAAAGAAACATTACATGTGTCATTATATTCATCACTGAAAAAAAACCTTTAAATTAAAAAAAGTATTTCCTTCATATGGCTACATTGCTATATGGTATGACTAGGTCATATGGTTGTATGTTATTAAATGCTTCTCATGGTCTAGTATCAGCATCTAGAGAGAGGGAGAATCAGTTATCAATGTAGACTCTCTGAAGATTCTGGCTAACATTTTGTACAGTTTACTTCTAGCTTTAAAGCTTTAACTATTCGTTTTTATTAGCTAAAAAGAAAAAGCACACACTTGGGACACTGCTGAATTCCTTGATGGTGTCTATTTCGTGGTTTGAGTTTCCCTTTAAAGTGCTTAGTGGTAGTTCCCTTTCCAATGGCTTAATGAGGGGTTTTGAGAACATGTTGTACAATATTTATGTTAAGTGATAAATAAAAGTGGCATAGGAATCTTCAATTAAAACTTTTTTCTTAATCTGTACTACTGTGTTAATTTGAATGCTCATCTTTTCTCGTAGAACGAATTAAGTGCAGCAACACACCTGACTTCAAAACTTTTAAAAGAATATGAAAAACAGGTACTATATATGAAAGTTTTAAAAGTATAATTTAAAATATGCAGTGATACAGTATCTGTATAGATAAACAGAATTTCTTATCAATAATTCTAAGCCTTTTGGGATTCACAGAAGGTAATTTTGATATGCCGTTGAAATTCCATTATGCACTTATATCTAATTTTAATGAGTTAATGTTAGACACAGAGGTTATCTAATTTACCTCTCTTTTTTCAAATGAAGAAACTGAGGCTTGCTCAAGGTTACACAGCTGGCTAGTAGAGAAATTGGAGCTAATTTTAAATCTTTGAACTTCTAGTATGGTGTGCATTCCTGTACACCATGTTGATTGGTCACTTAGCAAACATTTTAATTAATGTGTACTACTTATATGAATTACATTATTTTATTAAAACGATGTTTTTAGAGCTTATTCAAAATTTTAGAAGTTTTCTGAAGTTATTTAAAAATTATAATGTCACTCACAAAAGACATACAGCATTGGACCTTTACCTCATCTCTGTTTCTCACTTTTCAGCGTTTTCCACTGGGGGGTGATGATGAAGTTATGAGTTCTACTTTGCAACAGTTTTCAAAAGTTATAGATGAGGTAAATGCTTATTTTATTTTGCTTGGATAAGTGATCTTATAATTAAGTTACTGAAGTTGTTTAGCTTTTATTGGGAAGTTTTATTATTAGGATTTTATGAGTAAATCTCAATGATAAAAGATTACTATTTAAAGAAGGCCTTATTTCCAAATCTTGGTGGCTGTCTTGTAGAAACAACACTATCTTTGTCTGATTAAAGCAAATTGTTTTCAAGGAATAAGCATATAGATGTGCCGTCTCTACTTTCATGTACCATTCAGCCTTTAATTGTGTAGTCTGATGTAGGCAGGGAGAGAAGAGTTAAGCTGTTAGCCATAGCTGGGCTCTTTATGGTTTCTCTGTTTTTTACATTGAGCAGTATTTTACCATTCATTTCATTAATCCTTGCTTCCCAAACAACCAATACCAACCATTAATTTCTCTACCAGTCAGCAGAACAAATCATTAAGACCTCGAAGCCAAGAGGAAGCAAGGTGGTGAGAAATGTTCGGAGAATCCATCCATAACTACTTTGTACTACTGCAGTGAAAGCTCTTCTTTTCAGATGAGCCATTAGGTAGTTCTGTCTTTTCTAGTCTCTTAACTGGAAAAGTAGTTTTTAGAAATACTTTAATAACTCATCATAGCAAAATATTGTCACAGGAGATCAATTTAAAGAAATATTTATAGGAAATGGAATTTTTTATTGTGGTAAAATATACATAAAATTTACCATTAATGACATTTCGCACATTCACAATGTTGTACAACCACCACTGATGTTCCAGAACATTTTCATCATCATCCCAAAGGAAACCTACTAGGTGCCTATTAAGTAGTCACTGCCTCCCTCCCCTCAGCTCCTGGCAACCATAAATCTGCTTTCTGTCTGTATGGATTTGCCTGTTTTGGATATTTCATACAAATGGACTCATACAATTTGTGGATTTTTGCATCTGTCTTCTTTCACTTGGCATAATGTTGTCAGGGTTCATTCATGTTGTAGAAAGAATCAGAATTTCATTTTTTGTTTTTATTTTGTTTTGCTGAATAAAATTCCATTGTATGTATACCACATTTTATTTATCCATTCATTAGTTGACAGACATTTGATTTGGGTTGTTCTTCATCTTTTGGCTAATGTGAACAGTGCTGCTGTGAGCATTCATGTACAAGTTTTTTGTTTTTGTTTTTGTTTTTTCAAACGCCAGTTTTCAGTTTTTTGGGGTATATACCCAGGAGGGGGAATTGCTGGATCATATAATAATTTTATGTTTAGCTTTTTGAGAAACTGCCAAACTGTTTTCCACAGCCCTTGCACAATTTTACATTTCTGCCAGTAATGTAGGAGTGTTCCAATTTCTCCACATCCTTATCAACACTTGTTATTTTCATTAATTTTTTTTGCTATAGCCATCTAAGTGGGTATGAAGTGGAATCTCATTGTAGTTTTTTTTTTTTTTTTTTTTTTTTTTGCGGTACTCGGGCCTCTCACTGCTGTGGCCTCTCCCATTGAGGAGCACAGGCTCTGGACGCGCAGGCTCAGCGGCCATGGCTCACGGGCCTAGCCGCTCTGCGGAATGTGGGATCTTCCCAGACCGGGGCACGAACCCGTGTCCGCTGCATCAGCAGGCGGACTCTCAACCACTGCACCACCAGGGAAGTCCCCTCATTGTAGTTTTGATATGCATTTTCCTGAAGGCTAATGATGTTGAGCATTTTTTCCTATGCTTATTGACCATTTGTATATATTTGAAAAGTATCTATTCAGACCTTTGCCCATTTAAAAAAAATTATGTTTATTTTTTCATGTTTATTTTACTTTACTTTTTTTGGCCGCGCCTCATGGCTTGTGGGATCCCAGTTCCCCGACCAGGGATTGAACCCAGGCCCTAGGCAGTGAGAGCAAGGAGTCCTAATCACTGGACCACCAGGGAATTCCCTGCCCAATTTTTAATTGGGTTGTCTTTTAGTACTGAGTTTAAGAGTTCTTTATTCTAAAGTATACAAGTCCCTTATCAGTTATGTGATTGGTAAATATTTTCTCCCCTTCTGTGGGTTGTCTTTTTATTTTCTTGATAGTATCCTTTGATGCACAAAAGTTTTCAATTCTGATGAAGTCCAGTTTATATTTTCTTTGGTTGCTTGTGCTTTTGGTGTCATATCTTAGAAACCATTGCTAAATTCAAGGTTATCACGTTTTCTTCTGAGAGTTTTAAATGGAATTTTTTTGACCGTCACCTAATTATGTGATAACATCACATAATTTTAGGGTTCCCTTATGTAAATGTATCAGTACCTTTTTTAACTTTTTGGCCGCACCACTTGACATGCAGGATCTTAGTTCCCCAACTAGGGATCGAACCTGTGCCCCCTGCCATGGAAGCACAGAGTCTTAACTGCTGGACTGCCAGGGAATCCCTATACCAACACCTTTTTACTAGGTTTTGTTCAGTTTCCATAATGCTGGTTGATTGTCTCTTTGTAGTTATTTGGCCTTTTTGGTCTTTCTTTTACCAGCTTAGCTCTTGTCATGCGGTACTTTCAACACAGCTTGCTGATGCCATGATGTTCCCCATTACCCAGTTTAAAGAAAGAGATCTGAAAGGTATTGAAGTCAAGCTTATGTTTACTTTCATTAGCTGTCGGAAGATCACTGCTTGTAAAATGTGTAATACTCTATACCTTAACCATTTCTGACTGTAGCAAGTGTCACTTTTACTTTAATTGGTTGCTAAACATTTACAGGAGCTCCTGCTAGATGTTAAGCTAGATACTGAGGAGTACTTATATGAATAAGATGTCACATCCCTTGAGAAAGCCCAGAGAAGGAGATGGGTAAACAGATAATTCTGGTACTCTTATAATTAGGGATGAGCAAGGTGCTGTGGGGGCTCAGAGGAGGGTGTCAGAAAGGCTCCCTCACGGACGTGCCATGAGCACTGAGCAAGGAAGAAGAATTTGCCAGGAGAAGAGAGTCACTGTTCTACTGGAGGGACCAGAAAGCACAGAGTTATGGGTAGAAATGCATGTGTTGTTTTGAGAAACTGAGTGTGGCTGCAATGTTGGATGTGTTGGGGGATGGCGGGAGACAACTCTAGAAATAGATTAATTGGGATTAGATCATGCTAAAGATGTTGGACTTGAGTTTATAAGCAAAGAGAAGACAATGGAGGTCTTTAAGAAGTATACCTTTGTTTTTGGAGGATGGATTTGATGCTAGGAGAATGGACTAGGAAGTTGTGAGACTCCAGTGAGGTGTGACCAGGGCCTGAACTGGGACAGTGGCGCAGGAGATGAGGCGTGTTAGTGGGCTGGAGTGGTGGGAGGTAGGGGCTGGTCCATCTAACAACCCATGTCTCAGTAGCTTGTGGTGGCTTTCTTTTTTTCCCATTAAGGATTATTACGTGATAAAATGAGAGCGTTTATAGACTTGGCTCTGCTTTCTTAAAATTTACAATCTCAGACAATCATACAGACTCATTTACAAAGTATGTATAGATAGAGTAAAAACATTGTACTAATGTATTAGTGGATGATAAAGTATTTAAATTATACATGGAATAAAGACAAATGTATTTTAGAGATAGAATTAATATTTGTCTTGGTACTCTTCAAGAATAATCCGTTCCAAGGTCAAGAGACAAGACCTCTTTTCTCCATCTAAGGGGACTGAATATCATAATCTTGTCAATAAAATGTTCTTTTTATCATTCAGCATTTGAACTTATTAGAGTCAGTATCAAAAAATCAATTGGTTGGATTCTGGTACTAAATCAGAACATTTGTATATCTTAGAATTTGCAGTGTTTTTTTTAATTTTAAATTTACTTATATTATGTATTTATTTTTGACTGTGTTGGGTCTTCGTTGCTGTATGCAGGCTTTCTCTAGTTGCGGTGAGCAGGGGCTACTCTTCGTTGCGGTGCACAGGCTTCTCTTCTCTTGTTGCAGAGCACGGGCTCTAGGTGTGCGGGCTTCAGTAGTTGTGGTGCATGGGCTCAGTAGCTGTGGCTTGCGGGCTCTAGAGCGCAGGCTCAGTAGTTGTGGCCCACAGGCTTAGTTGCTCCGCAGCATGTGGGATCTTCCCAGACCAGGGCTCGAACCTGTGTCCCCTGCATTGGCAGGCGGATTCTTAACCACTGCGCCCCCAAGGAAGCCCTCAATGGTTTTAAAATTTTGTTTTTGGGTCATATTACAATTTGTGGCAGGTACAATTTCTGGTGGTGTAACTGTTGTTAATGATAGTAAATGTTAGGCTAGTTGAAACACAATAACTTTTTCACTTTAAACGTTGAACTTTGAAATATTTGGAGTTTTAATAGTAGCTTAAATGGCAGTTACTGTTTTCTAAACAAAATTTAAGATAGTTCATAAATATACTAAACTGAAATTATTCTTGAACTTTTCCAGAAATATTGACATTAAAGGAAGTGTTTCAGATTGCTAGTAATGGTAAGCTCTGAATACTTTGTACATTTATTTCTTGTATTGATGCATTTCTTTATCAATACAAATCTGTGGCCAGATTTTATGTAATAATTGAAAAGAATGAACCTAATTAAAAGTTTAAGTGAATATTATTTAAATCCTTGTCATTTAAGTTGCACTATTTATGCTAGAAGAAATATTTTAAAGGAAGTTAAATCTTGTGGTTTGTTATCTTCGTAATACCTAAGAAGGCAGTATATTTTCCCTTCCTCATTTTCCTGTCTATTCCATATTTTCTTTAATGAGCATTTGCTATTTCTGTACTAAAAAATACTTCAAAAAACTTTTAGTGGACTACTGTTTCCTTGGAATTAAATGTTTTTACCAATTTAATAAACAGAAACATACTTTAGGGGGAAATTTGGCTGTGGGGGACATTTGGGTGGAGTGATCACATAGTAGGGAATTCTTATTTTGCTTTAGTACATTTGTTGAAAGATGCACATGTGAAAACCGTTAAAGCACTTATAAGTTTTGCAAAGTACTGTTGTATATTTGTTAATAGTCATTTCTGTTTTCCAGATCATGATGCTGCAATTAACAGATATAGCAGATTGTCAAAAAAAAGAGAAAACGACAAGGTGTGATACATATTACTCCTTCAGTATCACAATTAACAACTGTTTCATTAGGTGGTCTCCTTTCTTCAGTTTAAAAGTGGTAGCCAGCAGTTGCTTTGTGTGCTTTGCTGTATTGCCCTTAGTTTATTCTTTCCTTCTAGTTATTTCAAAGCCTTTCTGTTAATTGTTAATTATCAGACAATTAATAATTGTCTTTTTAAACAAAATATTTTTCTGTTGATAGAGTTTTATAAGTAAACATAACTATTCCAAAAATGTAACTGATGCCCAGGTGTAACATTGCCTCCTTTTGCTTTGTATTTTGATAACACTGCATTTGTTTTATATATGTATTCAAAAGTGTGTTCTGATATACAGTGGTTAAAAAGTTGAATTGTTACATACATAATTGAATGAAATTCTGTTTTGAAGACCTCCTCATTTACAGGGAATATATATATATATATATATATATATATATATATATATATATATTTTATGCTTCTTCAAGGAGTGAAATTCAGAAATATTATACTACATTTGAAGAGAAATGCGTTTGAGTAAAGAACAAAGAACAGAGTATTAACAAGTTCATCTAGATGCTCCTTAAGATCATTTCTCTCTCAGTGCCTAGTCCAAGGCTTGATCAGAGTAGGCCTCCTCTAGATGCTTGTGAGTGAGGTGGTCTCTGTGCCCAGGAATTGGCGTCTGCAGCCTTGGCTGCGGCTGCTGGTAGGGGCACAGTGACCACTCTGGGAATCCACAGTTGGGTATGATTACTATCCAATAGCCACTGTGACCCAAAAAGGGAATGTTTCTCTCACAAATTCAGTACAAAGATCTGCTTTCACTGATTACTTGATGGTGCAAATATTTATAAAATACATACATTTTTAGATCTACATTACTTTGTTACTTTGCCATAGAGAAGCAGTTAAGGCTCTAAGTATGAACTTTGTTTTTACATTGCTTCTGGCTGTTCCAGGTATTTTTAAATACATTCTTCCACTAATTCAATTTATTTGAAAAATTTATTGAGCACCTACTACATGTTGGGTACTATGGGGGAACAATGTGAGTAGGCTCCACCTCTGCCCTCAAGGAGTGGATAATCCACATCTATCAAAGGCTTCCTGTATGAAGGCATGTGACTAGAACAGCTGCCAGAATACAAGGATGAAGAGAACACTGAATTATCACTGAGTTAAGTGCAGTAAAGAAGTCTTAACAAAATGCTGGGAGAGCAGAGAGAGGACAGTATATCTTTGATTGGTAAGTTGGGAAAGGTTACACTTTAAGTACCTTAAGCAGGAAAAGCAGGAAAAGAGAAGAGACAATGTATGTTACGTAACAGGTGCTCAATAAATATTTGTTGTCTGAATACAAGAACTCAAGGGACATAGTTTAAGTGTGGGTGAAGGAAAACAAGTATAAGAAAAGAGGAGCAGTAGGGAGAGAACCAGAGAACTAGGAGGCAAGTGGTATGCTGTGAACTGAAAAAGGTCAAAGATTAATGACTAAGCTAATACCAGACTGTTGTCTGCTTTTCCTCCATGTGGTAGACCTTATCTGCCATGTTTAGTTTAGTTACTATAGCTACTATAGTTACTATAGTTCATAGCTATGTGTAGAATGCTGCTTTTAATGTGCATTTTAAAAAATAAAGTGGTTGGTAGTAAAACAGGAAAACTATCTTAGCCAATATTCTGCAGGATTTCTATCTCAGAAAATAAGACAGCTATGTACAATTGCTGGTGATGCACCTTTTTCCTTGGGTAGTCTCTTCCCCTCAGCCACTACTAAAGATAATTCAAAATTAAATAAATAATAGTATTTTTAATCTTTCACTCAAAGGTGAAGTATGAAGTAACAGAAGATGTCTACACTTCCAGAAAAAAACAACACCAGACCATGATGCATTATTTTTGTGCATTAAATACTCTTCAATACAAAAAGAAAATAGCATTGTTAGAACCTCTACTTGGGTACATGCAAGCTCAGGTGAATATTGTACTGTGTTCTGGATTATAACTGTCTTAAGAACTTTATATTAAGTTTGATTTTTATGTTAAATGTAAGGATATTACAAACTAAGGTCAAATACTCATTTGTGTCTGTGATTTTAAAGCATTTTTTAAAATGTCAGAGTGCTGTTTTAAGGAAGTTAGGGAGAAGGGTTTTCCTAGCAAATGAAGATTTCAAATATTTTAGGGTAGATGAAACCACTTACCTTGTATTTAGACCTTGCCCATCACAGCTGGGGACAGAAAGATAAATGAATTCCAAAGCTACTCCTATTGCTCAAGCTTCCACTCACTCTTGCTTCGTAATAGATCTGAAAGAGAATGGATGTGTTTGAGCTTGTCTCATGTTCCTGGCATACTTCCTGAGTTAAAATTAATGGATGAACTCCAAAGTATTCCAAGAGTTGTACATCAGGAAGGAGGCTAGAAAATTAAATTTGGGTAACATAAGATGAAATAGCAGTCCCCTAAAAGCAAGAGTTTAAAGAAATTTGAATATTCCTTTGAATATAAGTACTTATTATTCCTCAGATATAAAACTTATCTTTGTAGTAAACATGAAATAGTTTATCCATATGACTTACTTGAAATATTTTAAAATATATTTTCCAATTTTAAAAACTTGCTTACTATATGCATGTGTTAATATATAAGATGATGCACAGTGAAATTTAAGTGTAGTTTCTTCAGTGGCTCTATGCCCAGTAGAAATCATTGTAAACTACAACCTATTTTTACACAGTTGGAAATAATCCTTTGTTTTTTACTTAACTATGTATTTTGGTGATTGTTTATATGATTCACTCTAAGTATTTTGTGTGTATGTGTTTCTGTTGTTCAACCTCCCATTCCCATACCCTCTTGCCCCAGATAAGTTTCTTTAAGATGGGTTCTGAAAATCTCAATGACCAACTGGAAGAATTCTTAACTAATATTGGAACAAGTGTACAGAAGTAAGTATTTTCTTCCTTAAAATTGAAAATGAAGTTATGAGAATGATAAGTTAACAGCTAAATACCATAATCTAAAAATATTTACCACTTAATTTCTGAGTGGCTATTTTCCCTGCCGTGAGAGTGTTTCTCGAGTGGCTCGTGGATGCTTCTTGGTTTTCTCACCATCTTTTCCACAGAATTTGAACTCTGAATTTCATAACAGTGTCAAATCTGATGGTATTTTATTGATTGTAGACTAGGTTTTATGTCTGAATACAACAGACACATAATAATTATCCATAAGTGAATTATCTTCACAGTTATCTGAATTGTAGGGGATGGATGGGAGAGTACTAAATGAATCTTGCTTTGCAAGCCATGAGAGATTAAAGAGACAGAGAAAGTAGTTCTAATCAGGTTCAAAGTCTGAGCAGTGATGTGGTTAATCTGCGATATGGAGGGAGATGAAAATGATTGTTTTAAACGCACAGGGCAGAGCAGTTTGAAAATTCCTCCAAAGTATGAGTCATTCAGTGTGGCTTCATTAGTTTTGGAATTTGGTATTGTTCCCAAATATCTAAGTTTCAAATAAAATGTAAAGCTGCTTTATAACACGCCACTTTAACCACCCATGCCACTGCTGTTCTCTTTAGGAAAATATATACAGAACAAATATACAGATAAATAAGATTGGTAAGGAGTTCTTTGTCTGTTGTAGTTGGTAGTAAATAATCTGTTCCCTCTGTTAGTGTTCGCAGGGAAATGGACAGCGATGTAGAGACCATGCAGCAAACAATAGAGGATTTGGAAGTAGCCAGTGACCCCTTGTATGTGCCTGACCCAGATCCCACAAAATTTCCTGTTAATCGAAACTTAACCCGAAAGGCTGGATACCTTAATGCTAGGAAGTAAGAAAACTATTGTTATTTTCATATATTGTGTATCAATTAAGGTAATAGCAAGTGAATATAATAAATGATATCTCCAAACTGTTCTGATTTTACTAAATGTTGAAACTTTTTACTAATACCACTATTAGTATTTATGCCAACTTTTTGACAGATGAGGTACATGAATAATTTTCAAAAGTAAAATTCTATTTAGATATTTATCAAATGATTTAGAATTATTTTAAAAAGTGAAACCAATTTGAGTTTAAATAAATCTAGCATAACATGTGAATGCTATTAAATATCATTATCATACTTTAAAATATATGTAATTACACCATCAAGTCAAATTTTAGTTTTTACCTAAAGATGGGATAAAGCAAGTTAACTCTAACAGTAAAATAAATTCTTTTGTTTTGAATTTATTCCCTTGAAATACAGTTGGACTGTATTTTATGGAGCATCATAACAGCTGTAATTTGATCATTTCCAGCCTTGTTTTGGAAATATATACATGCAGAATCACACAAGTGGGTCAGTTTATGTGAATTTATTTTAGAGACTGAAAACCTGATGTTTATATTTTCTATGCACCTTGGTGCCTTTTTGCAAGGTGGTTCTTTGTGATGTGCTTTACCTTTATCTTGTGTCTGGCTGATGATGGGATTTTAGGTGTGTTGTTATTAAAGAGTGAATGTACTTTCTTCATTTAGTAAAACAGGCTTGGTGTCATCTACCTGGGACAGACAGTTTTACTTCACACAGGGTGGAAACCTAATGAGTCAGGCCCGTGGGGACGTAGCAGGAGGCCTGGCCATGGACATAGACAACTGTTCAGTAATGGCTGTGGACTGTGAAGACAGGCGATACTGTTTTCAGATCACTTCTTTTGATGGCAAAAAGTTAGTATTTTTCCCTACTATTAAAAAAAATCTGTCATATTTTAAACTACTGAAATGTAGGATAATTCCTTTTCACTTGGACGTTGTACACGTTAGAATTATTATGTATTAAGATAATTTTCTTTTTAATCTTGTAGAAATTAGTTGAATTTTCCTTTTTGACTTAGATAAATGATGTCTTAATATTTTGAGGTTGTCAAAGCAAGTTTATGTGGTAAAGACCTGGGATTTCATGTTAAGAGACTGGTCACTGAAAATCCAGCATGGTATGGGGAAGGCAGCACAAGCTAGTGGAAAGAGCTCCAACCTTGGGGTCAGAAAGTTCAAATTCTGGATCCACTACCTACTTTGCAGTGTTAGACAAGTTACCTGACCTCTCTGGGCTTCAGTTTTCTACATGTAAAATGGAGGTTGGGGGGTCCTTCATTTCTATTTTGTGAATTGTTATGTAGAATAGAAATCTAACATATGTAATGTGCCTAGCATGTAGTAGGTGCTAATAATAATATTTTTAAATGTTAATCACATATTTCTGATCAAATTAATTATTTAGGCCATTAATGTTTACGTGCCATTTTAAAACTTCTATTACCTTTGCATTAAACAAGAATCCCATAGAGCAGCTTTTAAAACAAATTTTTGAGAAGCACAGAACAATACAAAAAGATGTATGAAAAAAAGCTATAATCTCATTAACCAGAAGCAATAATTAACTTTTTGGTCACTGCCTTACAGTTTTTATTTTTTATTCTAAGTACATTTTTAAAATAACTGAGGAAATACTGAATGTTTATTTCATATTCCTTCTATAAACAAACAATGAATGTCAATTACTGTGTGTCATTTATCACACTGGATGTTGGGAGTCCCTTTGTTCATTTGTCAAAATTACCAAACTGTTAACGTTACTGGATGTATTTACATTTTTGTATTTCCAGTTTTTTGCTAATGCTTAACATGATTTCCCATTTCACATTCCTGGTGTGATTCAAAATTAGTGAAAAAAAATTTTTTCTAACTCTTAAATATTAACATCTATAGAAAAGCTACATATCCCTATGTTAGTGATTAATATGTTGAAAAGTTTTACTTAACCATATTCAAGGAAAAATAATAAATAATGAAGTAAAATTAGTATTTTCTATTAGGACCACTGATTTATGTTTGAAATATATATGGTAAGTGTCAGAAAGTTGAAATGCATTGTCTTAGTGTCAATGTACCTTTGTTATAGTCTGCCTTCTGAAAACCAGCACATTTCTTTTTTGGTACATCTTGGCATAGATAGACAAAGTCAAGAGTTGTTAAAATCTGAGTCCTGATACCTCTGATAGTCTCCTTTCCTTAAGATACTGGTTGGTTATGTGTCTTCTCTTTGTTTGTTTCATACTGATGTGTATCTTTAAAGATAAAAATTTCTCACTCACGTTAAAAGTACTTTAGAAAAAAGTTGACTGTCAAACTTTTTCTCTTTTTTTTTCAGGTCTTCAATTTTGCAAGCAGAGAGTAAAAAAGACCATGAAGAGGTAAAATTTTATCTACTTAATTTCTTCAGCATCATCTTAAGATATTTTTCTGATGACAAAACATATTGATGTGTTCATTATAGAAATTTGGAAAATCCTAGTTAATTACAAATCTTTTTTTCAAAAAAGTCTATTGTCCTCAAGCAACATTCTTAAGTTTTGCACGGAATTTTACAACTGGACCTATAAGGAGAGACCTTAGAGATCATTTCTTGCTGTCTTTTTAAAAGCTCAAATTCAGAAATGACCTTGTGACTGCTGCTTTCTGGCAGGCTGTTAGTATCATGAGGCGAGTTTAATCTATTCCCTTCTCTTACCAACTCTCGAGACAGTATTTGCTGCATTAAGAACATAGTGGCAGATGTAGCATGGCAGGAAGCAACTAAAGCTTAAAACCTTGGGGAAATGAAAGACAGAAAAACAAAAATTTGGGAGTGTTTGTTCTTCCTCGTGAGTCTTTTGTTTTTGGCTCCATTTTTACTTGTCGTTCACCAAATATGGAAGGTAAGTTGTTATTATATAATTGTGCTGGTAAAAGACAAGTTTAGAAATTATGTAGAGATCAACTTTTATTTACTTCTTATGGAAAAGAGTAGGTATTAAAACGTGCTTCTGGTCTCTGAGGAATACAGACATATGGCTGTTCTTTGCAGGGTTTACCAAACAGAACATTAGGTTAGCTTTGTAAGGCTCCTTAGGCACTGGAATACTTGAGAGTGAAGCAGAGGATGTGGGGCAGAGAGTGTTTTCTGTGTTATTTATAAACCTGAAAGGGAAGTATGTAAAATACGTTCACAAGGAATATATTTAGCTCTTAACTTTTTTTACATTGGTATTAATCATGGTATCTGAGTCCAGACTGTCTTATTTGGTGGGGATTAGATATAATTTATATTAGATATAAAAAAATTTATATTAGATATAAAAAAAATTTATATTAGATATAAAAAGATAAATATAGACTATTAAATTACAGTTTAACATGATAGCTATATTTTTTATTTCCTTGTATGAAATAAATCTGGAATTTAAAAATAACAAATCTGTTCAGTGTTCTGTTATACCTTCATATGTTGTACATATATATGCTTTTGCATATAGGAAGGTATTTATCTCATAAGAAAGATTATATGTTATTTCTTCTAGTGAAACTTCTATGTCAGTTAAATATTAAACATTCTCTTTTAGAAGGGAAGCATTGTAGAAAAAAATATTAATCGTATTTTTCTATTTTCCCTTTTGCAGTGGATCTGTACAATAAATAACATATCTAAACAGATATATTTAAGTGAAAACCCAGAGGTAATATTTTTATTTTATGTATCCAGATATGGCAAAATTGAATAATTCTGTGGCTTATATGGCTTTTATTGTATTTTCTCAAGTTCTGTAATCTTTTAATTTGCCCTTGAATGGGCAGCTTTCATATATCATGAATAGAATGAGTATCTGGTCTTCCTAGAACAGTAAATTATTTCAGAACATACTGAAATCAGTCAACCAACAAATGTAAGTAGACATCAACCTTGTGTTTAGCACCATGTTGAGCACCATGGAGAAAGGGGATATAGAAGAAAAATAGGCCATGGCCTCTGCCCTCCAGGAGCTTATGTATGTGGGAAGAGAAATCTAAAACTTTAAGTAACATTTCATATAAATTGAAAGTGTATGGTGATGACTGAAAGCTTAAGATTTCAGAATATTAAGATCAGTATGGATTTTAGTTTTAGAGAAAACTCTGTGGAGATGGCAGAAACCTGAGCTAGGTAGGATTTTTCCAGATTTTGAGGAATTTTGTGAAATTAGTTGTATAATTAGAATTGAAAGGTCTTGTTGGAGAATAATAGAAAACTGAAAAGTGCATACAAATCACCTGGGGACCTTGTTAAAATGCATATTACGTTTCAGTAGGTCTGGGGTGAGGCAGCCTGAACTCTCAAGTTTTGCCAGTTATGCTTTGAGTAGTGGGTATCAAATCACATGAACTCAGCAGTGTAGACAGAGTTGTAGATGCAGTCCAAACATGCAGGCAGAACCCGGGGTGCAGAGAACTCTGGAAGGACCAGTGAGTCCTAACTGCAGTGTAGTTGGGAAGAGACTTGGTTTAAGAGAGGAGCCATCTGACCTCTGCCAGTCTTGGTAGGCCCAGCTAGGCTGTGAACCTGGCTGCCTCCCAGGGCTGTTTGGGGCTGATGGGAGGCTGGGGGTGGGGGTTACGGTTTCAGTTGAGGCAGATCGGGGCTAATTTCTCTAGGAAGCCCTACCCTTCTAAGTCTTAAACTGTCGTTGGTGTAGTGGTTAATTAGACAGGACTGTTGGGGGACATGTAGGAGGCCATTATAGTTTAGGCATGAATTGAGGGTCTGAACATGGTGGTAACCTGAGGGAAGAGAGAAGAATGAATCATAGAAACAGGTAAAAAGAAATTGGCTGGACTAGTTAGTAACTGACCGATGTAAAGGATGAAGAAACCGACCAACATAAAGGATGAAGGAGACAAAGATGACTTCCAGGTTTTAAGCCTGGATGAAGGGAAGAAATGAAGGGAAGAACAATTTGGAAAAGAAAAGTTCTGTTTTTACCATAATGGTTTTGAGGTGCCATCCAAGACACATATGATTTGGATGCCTAGGAAAAAAGTTTTGAACTAAAGAAGCAAAATCTCATGACCTGAAAAATATTAGTTGTTTCTGTTAGTTTTATAATGATCTAATGAGTTTAATCTAAGAATATCAGTGCTAATTGTAGAGAAGTCTTCTGCTTTTAGTAACTTGATCTCCTGCCAAACTTGCTTTTTCTTTCTGTTATGTCACTTGGGAAGAACAAAAAATTAAAATGCAAATTAGATGACTTGTTAATACCTAAGGAATACAAAGGGAATATAGTGTTTGGATTTGAATAAGTCAGGCTTATTGTACTCTCCTGCCAATTATCAGAAGTCAGAGTTTTAATATTTTCCAGATTATCCAGAATTATTTTGTTTATATTAATGAGAAGAAATTTTGATCGATTTGTGGCATTGTCTTTATACTTTTGCTAAGACACAGAAGTGCAAAAATGTTTTGTGATTATTTTTTCTAATGTACATGCTATTTTATTTAGCTTGTGTTTTAAATTATTTAATAAGTTTAATATTTTAATAAGTTTTTAAATATTTCTTATGGAAAGCTTTTTTCAAATTTGGCCGAAAATATCCATGATAACTTTATTAATAAATACACAGATATTTCTGAGCATAAATACATTCCAGAAAATCATAAAAACTTCAGGATCATGGTTATAAAATACTTTAATATTTTGTGACTATTTCCTACTCCTTTTAAATTTCTTTATTTAGCAAATTTGAGTGCCCATATGCTACGCACTGTACTAGGCACTAGCAATACAAACCTTAATCTAAAAAAAATTTGATAGTTAAAATTTAAAGAAAAAATATTTCCTATTATGTATATTAGTAGAAAAAAATCAGATTTTTCCCCTAGATTTACAGGAAGTAAGAGGAAACTTAAGTTATAATGTTGTGAAATTAATTATGTGTCTTAATACTAAGACAAGAGAATGTGGAACAACTTTAGTAACTTCAATTTACATTTTAAGTGTAACTCAGGGACATTCTGACAGTTCAGAGAGTTATATTTAAACTTTTGGTTTTCTTGCTTTACTAATTCATCCTTTTTTAAAAAAAAAAAATAGGAAATTGCTGCACGGGTAAATCAGTCAGCTTTGGAAGCTGTCACTCCTTCCCCGTCTTTCCAGCAGAGGCACGAGAGCCTGCGGCCAGCAGGGTGAGTTACCAGTCTCTGGGCTCTTTAAAGAACTATATGGGCTATTGAAAGTGTTAGCAAACACTTTGATTTTAGTAGTGTTAGTTACATTAGTACGAAATAGTTCTAGAAAATGTATTTCAAATCGGTAAATTTACCAGCAAGAGTGCTAAATAAATGATGATTCCAAATTTCCCTTGTGTTTATCTCTAGGTTAAAGTGATTTACGTTTCTGAATTTAGTAATTGGAAAGAAAAAGTCTTTTGATAAAGTCTTTTGACAAAGTAACTGTGATTTGGGATTGTGTGTATTAAAATTTGTTCTCATCGACTTATAAAATTGTATTTTCTTTTCTCATAGTTTAAGTGTTTAATTTCCAAAAGAGAAAACTAAATGCAATGCCTTCTTGTTTTCTTCTGTGCTTAGACAATCTCGGCCACTGACAGCTCGAACCAGCAGTTCAGGATCCATAGGATCTGAGCCCACAAATTTGGCTGCCCTCTCTCTAGATTCTCTCGTTGCTCCAGACACCCCAATACAGTTTGACATCATTTCTCCTGTGTGTGAAGATCAGCCTGGCCAGGCAAAAGCCTCTGGCCAGGGAGGCAGGTGGGTAATAGGAAGGTCTGTAGGGCTGTAGGGCTTATGAGCCAATTTCTACAGTTGAGAGCCATCTCTCATATACCTTGTGCATCAGCTGTGTTTTACTTTCTTTGTTTAATTACCTAACAGAATTTTGATAGTTGAAGAAGAATCATGCAGGCTTTTCTCTGTTTTTTTGCCTCAGTTAAATGAGTTAAGATAATTTAGTTTTAAAAGTACTCAATTCTGAATTGTTTATCAGATCTACTTCTAAGGTATTTACTCTTAAAATTACAGAAGAAAGTTGACAGTCCTATTTTTACATCATGACAATATTTTTAAAATTCTTGAGAGTAATACATGTGCTACAGGTTTATTAGAAAACGTTATATAGGGGACTTCCCTGGTGGTCCAGTGGGTAGGACTCTGTGCTTCCAATGCAGGGGGCCCGGCTTCGATCCCTGTTTGGGGAACTAGATCCCGCATGCATGCCACAACTAAGAAGTCCACATGATGCAACTAAGAGACCCGCATGCCGCAACTAAAAAAAAAAAAAAGTTATCTTGTGTCAGAATAAGAAATCTCCAGGAAGGAACTAAAACATTGTCATGCTATGAATTATTAATAAATTATCTTTTGTTTATATGATGAGAAATCCTTGTCAAAGCAGTTAAAATTTTTCTTTGGCTGTGGATGAAGGTAACGTGGCTTAAGGCAAATCATTTATTAAGTAGGTGGGGCACCTAATAAATTGATAATGTAGTAATTTGGATATACATGGCCGTGACCAAGAAAAGATAATTTACTCTTGATCACAGAAATATACTTAGCATTTGATATGATAGGTCAGACATGTATTAGGGAGATCAATTTCATGTTATCTTAAAGCCAGTGTTATCTTAGAACTACTTAGCTCTCTGTTTGTCTATAAAACCTACTTTGGATTGTACTTTTCTTCCTTCGTTGTGGGTGTGTCATGAGCCATGCACACTAAGGAGGGAGGTAGCTTCCATTCTCTAGTTAGCTTTTCTTCTTGCATTCTGTTACGTATGTCTTGAGAAACACAGGTTTAAAACTAGAAAATGTTCAAATTATCATAGTTAACTTGCGACATGTACTTAGAGGACCTAAAAAAAGGTTTTTTACAATCGAAGGAAATTCCTGGCATTTTTCTCATGTACCTAAAGTTGAAGCTAAATTAGCCATTCCTCTGTCCTACTTTATTTAAATTCAAGAACTTTTGCAACATGTTTTATTATAATGTTGATTTTTGTGTGTCTATGGCTAAACATGCTATCTGTCCACATCTTCTAAAATACAGCAACTTTGAGTTCAGCCTATTAACTTAGTGTGAGGGCAGAGGCCTTCATCACAAGTTAGTTGGTCATCAGTAGTGTTCCTTAACAGGAAGGGGTATTTTGGAGCTTTTTTAAAATGTATGTACAAGGTTTTGTGACTTTTAGTTTTTAACTCTGGGTTCAATGATTGAGATTCCTTCCATGTGGCTCATGGTAACTGACCTCTGGTTCATAATTTTTTAAAATACTTTTCAGGCGTACAAATCCATTTGGAGAATCTGGAGGAGGTACAAAATCTGAAACTGAAGGTAAAACAAGTGTAGTATTCTTATATTTTAGAAATTCTCAGAGCAGTAAACTATGTGAAGAATTTGATGTTTACATTTGTTTTGCTGTATGCTGTTTTAATGGTATCTATACTTCACAGTTTTCTCTTTTCACTCATAGTACACTTAAAGCAACAGAACTTAATCAAACTTAAGATTTCATTATTCACACAAAATTATAGATTATGATACTTTTGACCTCATAGTCAAATTTTCATTCCATAAGATATCCTTTGACCTTTTCCTAACAGCTGTTTTCTTCTGGTTTTGGAGCATAACTTTTTTTTTCTTTTTCCCATAGCTATTTACTTTGATATAATTTCAAACTTACAGAAAGGCTGTAAGCATAGTAAAAGGAATTCTTTTTAACTCAGAAGTACCAATTGCCAAAGCATAACCTTTTGCTATTTGAGTTTGAGATCTTAATTCTTCTATAAGATGAACACTGTAGTTAGGAGTTATTTCTAAATGCTTCTGCTGTGTTGAATTTTTCATTGGAAAACCTAAAGAAAGCAGTGTATTTTATTCCTTAGGAAAAGAAATTTGGGATTTAAAAATACATTATGTACCTTATTTTGTTGTAGATTCTATTCTTCATCAGTTGTTTATTGTCCGATTCCTTGGTTCTATGGAGGTGAAATCAGATGACAATCCAGATGTTGTTTATGAAACAATGCGCCAAATCTTAGCTGCCCGGGCCATCCATAACATCTTTCGTATGACAGAATCACATTTATTAGTCTCTTGTGATTGTTTAAAGTAAGTAGTAACCTGTCCCTCAAAAAACTGTAGGAAAAAATGTTTACATAACTTTAGCCTAATTAAAATTTGTCTCCCAAATTTTTAATTATTATTATAGGTTAATTGATCCACAGACACAAGTTACAAGGCTCATGGTGAGTTCTGCATGTTTAAAGCTTTATTTTAAGTCTCTTTGTACATATACACGTCTTACATCTTTATAATAATCCTGATTCTGTATATTCAGATATGGTAGCATGAATTATGATTGGTCTTTAGGGTGTTATAATTGAGTCTATGGCTATCTCTACAAAAAAGTTGTAACATTCCGTGTAACTTAAAGAATCAATGCAATCTGGTGTGATACTTAGTATTTATATTTATCCCTCAGTTAGGGAGCATATATCATACACTAAAGAAACTAAAAATTAAATTAAGGGATTAAAAGGCCAACATGATTGAGTTTATTTTATAATTATCTGTTTTGAAATAGCTGCAGGCATGTGCTTCTATTTAATCATTTAACAATATAGACCATTTTTGTTACTGAATTTGAATTTGTAAAATGTGTTAATGACTAATAAAACAAATTCAGTATTCAACAACCTTTTAATTTCCTGACAATCCAAACCAAATATGACATTGTTTGTTCTTGGATTACCATTCGGTTAAGAAAAACAACTGACTCTAATGTTCTATTTAGGATATTAAACAACTTAGTACATGGGTTTGTCATATGTAAGAGGGCTGTTTTAATGGTTTGAAAAATTTCATGTTTGCTTCTGATGTTTTCTGTGGCAGTTTCCATTACCCAGTGTAGTTTTGTATGCTACACACCAGGAAAATAAGAGGCTTTTTGGATTTGTTCTTCGGACATCAGGAGGGAGAAGTGAAAGTAATCTGTCATCAGTCTGCTATATATTTGAATCAAACAATGAGGGTGAAAAGGTACGTGGCTTTTCAAAATGTGTTTCTTTTGTGAAATACATGTCATAGTCAAAGTTCTTACTAAGATTTCTGGAGAAAAACTCCCAAACTTTGCCTAGTCCAACTGAGCTGCTTGACCAAAGCCTCTTGTTTTGAGGAGAGCTGAGCTGATGGGTTGGGCCATCTGACTCCACAAACCTGTATCTTCCTGGCCATTGATAGCTGTTGCAATCTTCTGGCTTTGTTAACTTATCCTGGGAATGCAAAATATTCCCATAATCAGCCATTTCCAAATGTCTTCATCTTAGAGTAGCAGCAGCAGCTGCTTGCTTTCTTCTTTGCAACTTTACCATCTCAGTAATGAATCTGAGATAACAAGAAGTGGGGTATGTGAAAGAGATGAGAGCCAGCAGTGGCAGCTCACAGACTCTGAAGAAAATACACAAAGGATTGGTTTTGGGGCTGGAACATTCTTAAATCAGCTTTTGTTTGAAGCAGTGTATTAAAATGAGTTATAAAACTAGTTACATCAGCCATTTGGATACTTGATGTAAGAACTGCCTGAGTTTTTCTTACTTGTTCCCCCTTTAGATTTGTGATTCTGTTGGACTGGCAAAACAGATAGCTTTGCATGCAGAACTGGTAAGAATCCAAGACACTTAATTATCCAAGAATGTTAACTAAAGTAATATAAGATCTTTCATATTAGCAAGTAAATAAAAATGATTTTGCCATGCAAGGTTAACAATAGATGCTATTCCTGATACATAGCATTTAGAATTTGGATAAATGGCTAACATTAGAATGTAAATTTTTGGTGTGCTTTCTCATATAAATGCAAATAATAATTTGAAAAGGTTACAAAGGTAATATTAATTGACAAGTTAAAATTTAAAGTTATTTCATATTTAATTCATTAGTTGTATTCATCTGGTCTTCAGGATCGCAGGGCATCAGAAAAACAAAAAGAAATAGAGAGAGTAAAAGAGAAGCAACAGAAAGAACTCAGTAAACAAAAACAAATTGAAAAGGTATGCAGTCCTAATGTCTAGATCTTCTCTGACTAGATATGATGTTTATGAAGAGTTTCCTTAATTCAGCACTGTGACTTTCATATTGGAATTTTCAAGTGAAGGTCTGTTTCTACTTGCTCAGCCACTTCATACATAACCAGATGATTCATAGCATAGTAGAAAAGGATGACATCTGTCTTCTTGGCTGCGCCGCACGGCTTGTGGGATCTTAGTTCCCCAACCAGGGACTGAACTGGGGCCCTTGTCTGTGAGAGCTCGGAGTCCCAACCACCGGACTGCCAGGGAATTCCTGACATCTGTCTTCTGATACAATGTTTACATTATAGTTATATTGACATGTAGTGTGACTTGCTGTTTAGCAAACATACTACATATTCCAGAAGAGGTTGGAAGGTTGTCTCTGTCAAAGTAGGTCTTTTGAGAGGAGATATATATATGGCTTTCATCAATGGTAGTTGTGTGTGTGTATACACACACACACACACACACACATATATATTAGAGAGAGGGAAGGGAGGGGATGTGGAGTGATTCATTATGAGCCTTTTCTGTAGTTTATAATGAGAGATAATGATGGCTCGAATGTAAGTTGTTGGCCATAAAAATGGAGAAGAGTGACATGTTGGCTTTTATAGGCTTTCTAGAAAAGTGTCAAAATTTACTTTGGTGTTGCATTGGTTGTGTGTAGTCTTTCTTTTCAGTAAGTTGCCAGAATTATGCATACATATTTATGACAGAAGAGTTGAAGTGGCTCTCAAGTATGTATTTAACTGCTTACTTTCCTATTTGATTGCAAACAATTAACTTTAAGTTTCTTTTCTGTCTTTTCCACTAGGACTTAGAAGAACAAAGTCGGTTGATAGCTGCTTCCAGTAGACCAAACCAAGCCAGTAGTGAGGGGCAGTTTGTTGTCCTTAGCAGTAGCCAGTCAGAAGAGAGTGATTTGGGAGAAGAAGGAAAGAAGAGAGAATCAGAAGCATAAACTTATCCTTACTTTTTGGTTGATATTCGCCCCCCACCCCTTTGAATTTGTTGACAATTTCTGTGGTGAAGTGGCACAAGGTAACAACAATGCTGAACTATCAAGGAGACTAAAATTTATATTTGCTTGTTTATTTTAACTTCATTTTTTAAACTATGACTGACCTTGATAACTTAGGTTTGCATTGATTTTTTTTTTCCCTTAGAAATAATATACTATGCAGTAACTTCAAATTCCACATGTCTAAAAGAAACCTGTTCATATCCCTGAAGTAGATTGCTGAGGAATTAGAGTTGCTCAAGCCTGTTCTTCCTTCAAATTGTGAACTTATTACCTTGCATTGTAATTGGCTGTGACCATAAGAAATCATTTATTCTTCAGCTTCAGGTATTCATGGATATGCTCCCTCTCTTTCATTAGGAACAATTGCTGGCAGTGAGGAAGCTTTTGACTGAATAGGTTTAAAATCCTTATACAGATAATTCTACAAGTTTGCAAATATTTTAACAATGTTAAATGTGCAATAGAACTTTTACAAAATAATTAGAATAGAGATTTTAGACTTAAGGTTTCAAGTTGTGGCAGGTGGTACTGTTGATTTCAGGGCATTTTCTTGGATTGCTCGCATTTCTCTGATGTACTACACCTGATGCCAGTGGGAAAGAAGCTTAAGTGTCTTCAGTTCAAGATTGCTACAGCCCTTGGCATTTTATTATCACATTCTTAGTTCTCAGGTTGGGACTTGAATTGTTGCTGCAGAGCAGTAATGGTTAAAATAAGATTCTGGAGTTTATTAAAAGGGATTTTTTTTTTGTTCAAATACATTTTAGATTAGGATTTAACATGTAAAGATATTGTTACAGGATACATTGTATTTTCTGCATTGTGTGAAATAATTTTTATTGAAAATCAAGTGACATTTAGAAAGAAGTTCTATAGCAATTGTTTCCTGCTTAAAAATTCTCAGAATTTAGTTTAAAAATGTAATCTTTTAAATTTCAGACTGATAGCCCACAGTATTTTCATAATTCCATGTTTTTATAAAATACTGATCATCACTTTATATCCGTGAAGGCAAATAATATATGAGAATAGAATAATTTGCACTAATTATTGTAAATACTTGTCCTCTTTAAGTAAGTAGAGTGAAAGGTCTAATTCCATGAAAGACTGAAAAGCAATTGAGTGCTTGTTATAGGAGAGTCAACCCAGGAAGGATTTTAACCTGGTGCCAAGGTTAAAATGACATTTCTCTACTGCCTAATTCTGTGTCAAAACTTTTTTTTTTTAACTTGGATTTTTAACATTGCTGATAGAAATTATGTTCCTGTGTTTCACATGTAAAAGTATATATGGCCAAGTTAAATATATTGAATAAAATATTTTACACAGTCATGCATTTAAAGTTTTCAAGAGATTAGCCACTAAGACTAATTTTACAAGGGAAAAGCCTTTTGTTATTTGACATATAATTTTTTCTTTTTAGTTCTGATTTAGAAATGGCATATAGTTCTCACAATATAGTGTGGGTGTTTCACACTGTATATACATTGTTTTCTGTAGGAACGGGATAGATAATTATATATAGTATCATGATTTTTTTTAGCCATGTGCCAAATGGGAATAATGATTACTTAATCATTATTTTGAAGCCTTATGTTACCAAAACGTATAGTAAAAAAGTAGAAATTTATGGAATACTTTTTGAAAGAAGTTTATTTTGTCCTTGCTAAAGGGAATGCTTTCACAGTAGTTTGTGTATCATTCCTTTTGTAGAAATTGAAATTTCTTCTGTGGTCAGCATTTGCTTAGTCACGGCAGGTCCTGCTTTTAAGACCTTTTTGAGAATTAGTAAGCTTTTTGTTTCAGTAAGTCTTTTACTATAAAGTTGTCACCTCACTTAGTTCAGGTGTAACTTGTCAGCCACCGTGCAGGGAAGGTGGTCAGCATTAGGAGGCAGTTTTACTAGGCTGGTGCTTTGCATGGTAGCGTACTACAGCCCTTGGTGAGCACTCTGGGTCAAAGTGTAGGCTAAAGTTAAGGGTACTGGCAGACTTAGGGATGCTGGACAGACTTGTGGTTCCTTTTACATCATGTTTTGATAGGAATTTCCACAATAACACACCCATGTCTATAGGTCAGACCAAAGTGCTTTCCAGTGCCAAATAGAAGTTAAGTGTGGGTTTAACAATTTTAGATGATTCAACTTCTGTTCCATTACTGTAAACCATATGAACAATTCCATTACTGCAGATATTTAAGGATCAACTTTAATAAATTCTGTGTTTTGTTTAAGGAAGGCTCCCCATGGATTTCTGCGTAATGTTAAAGCTGATCTTTGTTACCCTTTGAAATCCCTTCAAGCTTTTGGATGTTTTGGTGGTGATTGAATTAGATTTTGGGATATCTTTCTCAGACTTGAACTTGCACTTAATGGTTTTAGAGATTAACAAAACTGATTCTTTAAAAGGAAAGAAATTAAGTCTACTTAATTCTGCTAGGCACTCTTGCTACCTATGTCAACAGTACTTTTGTAACTATGGTAGTGAAGTCAATAGATAGGAAACTGATGATTCCTTCCCCCTTGTAAAATTGGGAAAACTTGCTAACGAGGGACTAAAACTGTTGCCTTGAACACAGTCCCCAGTCTAGTTTTTGCCATGTTTACAATGATTACTTCGTGTTTAATTTCAAAAGAATTCTCAGATTCCACAGTCTAGGGGTGGTAAATTTATGTTACTTTTATGCTTGAGGAAAGGATAGTATGGTGTGCATATCATTCTACATAACATATAATCATATGTGGTAAAGGCATCTGAGTTAATTTTGAATTATATATAGGAACTGCAAGTATTTAAGATTTGAATCTTCTTATACCTGCTGACAGACCCTAAGAGCCTGTGTTTTGTAAAACCTCTGCCACCCAAATTAATAAAATGAAAATATTAACATTGGTTTTGATAACAGCCTCCTAGCATTCAAACTGTACTTTAAATATTCAAACACACTGATTGTAGCAAGCAAGCCTTTGACTTTATTTTTATCAAGTTCGGCTTACTTTTCTTTCATGAGATTTTTTTCTTCCGTATTAATTAATAATACATAATAATTTGAAACTGGAACTATATTATACTTTTTAACTAATCTCTTGTGGCTGTACTCGTGTAATTTACTTAGGTTAATATGAGAACTGGGGATTAAGTTATAACTAATGTGCAAAACCACTTTGTATATTTGGTGATTTTGTAATGTAAGTGAATTGGTTCATATTTCACTGATATTGTTAATCATGCATATACAATTAAAAATTATGCTTCATTTCCCTTTAGAATTAAATTTGAAAAACTCGACTTTATGTAATGGTGGTATACATGTGGAGTGAAGAACTTATTTTTTCATTTTGTCAAAATAAGTATTCCTGACAAGGCTTCAGGAAATATGCTGTTAGGATATTTTTAATGTATAATAAAGTCCATGATTTTTTTATAGTCTTTTTTGTATGAAATATTTGATATATACTCTGAATTTTACTTCTCCAAGTAATTTCAAATGATGCTTATAAAACAATTGGACTTTTTCTTAATCTGTTATGATACTGTTATTACACATCTAACCCTATTGCAATTCCATAACAGCTAAAATGGGAAAAAAATGTCACTTATGGGGAAATAATACTAATTCATATCTACTGACTTTTTTCCTTTAGAAAAATTAAGAGAATTTTCAATAATTACCCTAGACATGTTACAATGTATACTTGCTATATTGGGTCCTATTCAAAGAAATTCCTGTAATTTAAAGGGTCAGGTTATTGTGTACACCAGCTTAAGTGGCTTGGGCCTGTAGTTTTAATACTAATGCATATTCATCCCCTGTGCTCTTTATGGTTTCCTGTAGCACTTACCAAGTTCTGTTCTTCTACTGGCAGTTTGTTTTAATTTGTTTTGAATTTTGTAAAATGTATACACTTGTAGAAGGTCCAGGGAGTAGATGAAATTAACTTCAGAATTATGTAATTTATCTAGGTGCATGTATATCTTAAATATATTTGTGTATCGACATACATATAATCTAGCACCCATTTATAAACAGACACCACAATTTGATTTAAAAAAAATAAAAACTATTCATGCCAGCTAATTTTGCAAATTTTTTATGTGAAAACTGTATTATTAGTAATTTTAAGTCTGTGCTTACTGAAATAGTCTGTATAGCCATGAATTCCTACATTAGAAAGAAATCATATAACTTCAGTTTCCTTAAGAAGGACTATATTATGCTAAAAAAAAAAGTATGCTAAGACTAAACATATAAACATCAAGCTATAACTGACTGGGCCTGTGGTCATCATGCTGCCTCTCTGTTCTCTCTGTTGATGTGCCATATAATGGTACACAGGTATGGCTGAATGAATGTCTTCTTAGTTTCCTTCCTCGCTTCCACATACAGAAACCTGTACTTAAATGCAGCATAGAATATATAGAAATAAAATTTTAAACTAACACCTATAACTGCTTCTATCAGTGAGCCCCTCCTCTGTGTCTAGTAGTCGACTAGGTTCAGTACAGAAATCATAAGCCATCATCCATTTGAAAACACTTGTAGTGATCACATTAACCAATAAATGGCAACCCTTAGCCAGGGTTTTGTAGGAAGAAGGAACGCATGTATCCCATTAATGATGAAATCGCAATTGAAGGTTCTCTTTCAATTAACTGAATTACCTCAGTAATGGACTCTGCAAGTAAACAGACAATAAACTGGCCTTGGGACTTTTGTACAAGAACAGCTAATTTTAGGGTCATGTACTGGGGTCAATACTTTATTCACTGCAGTCACTAAGACATTTTATATATGTACTTCTCTATAAGAAGGATTACTGTTAAGAATTATGAATTATCAGAGGTAGCATTTATTATTTTGAGCATGTAGAAATGTGGATTTATACATTTAATGTAAGATGAATACAGTATTAGAACTGATGTATCTTAGTTAATTGAAATTTTTACTGTTTGGGTTTTATTTTTACAAAACTGCCTTTCAGAATGCCAGCCATCTGTTGAGAGGCTATGTTCAGAGTGACTTTTTAAAGAATGTAGACTGCATTGAGATTTTAGTTGCTAGGTAAAGTGAGAAATATGAATCAATGTAACAAGTCACATTTTAAGAAAGACATCTGTGGAATTATATACCTTTTCATCCAGAATAGTTTGATTACCAGGTTCCTGTGAAAATTCCTTGCTCATAAAGGTCATATTCTTTGTAAAGGACATATGCCTTTAGACGATTGGGTAACGGAAGAAATGACATGAAGATGGGGCAGCGCAAATGTAAACGTCCCATACACTTCCGGATCTTGAGGCGGCACAAATGTTTCAGGGAGCGAGGGTTTGCTAAAATGAAAAACAGGCACATTATCCAAAAGAAAGAATTGCTTCATTTTTTAGTGATCTTTAGCAAATGTATTTTGTACTTAAGCCACCAAGATTTTCATTTGCTCTGACTAAATGGAAAAGTTAATTGGGAAATAGCTTTCCACTTCTCACTGCAAATCTCGTAGCTGTGGTTTCAGAGCCATGTCACGTTAGAGTCCAAAGACTGGCATCAGTTGTGGGTCTGGCCTGTGAGACCTAAAGCTCCTACACCTGTGGGTATTATCCCCCTGTCCTGCCCCTTGGGGTCAGGCTAAAAACTAAAGATCACTACCTGTGGGGAAATTATATGAAAGAAATTCTTCTTAATTTGACTTATGTGCTACTGTGAAAGAATTTGATTTGAAGGGTCATTTAATATCCTCTGTAGCCTTAGATCTTAGCATTTTCTCATCCCTGTTTTAGTGCCATTTCATAGTTTTTAATTCCTGTGTCTATGGTGTTCCATAGGATCAGAAGAAAAGTATTATCTACCTATATAATAAATAATTACCTAACAGATTTTATCTATTGGGAAATGGTAGTAAGTACAAATTAAGTGTAGTTGTAAATGGTAACATTTTTTAGATAGGAATAGTATTTTTCTTCGTTTCTTTAGGTCAAGCTTTTAACTGAAGAGAACAATGTTCTACAAAAGAAGTAAGAGTTCAGTTAGTATTTTTTGGTAAGAATCGTCAAGAAAGAAAAATACTCACTCAAGATAAAATGGATTTCTGACCAGAGCCTCTGTTTTTGGAGCACAGCTTTCAACTTTGAACAGATCCTAACTTGATCAACATAATCAAGCATCACTCGAACAACCTTTCCAGAGAGATGTTGCAGCCATGACAAAGTTATTACTTCGCAGAACTGAGGAAGAAAATCAGAACTATGAAAGTAAATGGAAAACTAAGTATCTGTGGTTTAACACAGTAATCAAAAGAACACTAAACTCGGAGTCAAGAACCAAGGTTTGAAGTTCCTCATTTATAAACTAAGGTGTTGAACAAGAAAATATTTCTTAGCTCTAACATTTGGAAAAATATTTACTACCAAGTCTTCCAAACTTTATAAGATAACGAGGGTTTAAAACAGACTGTTACCTAATAGCTTTTATCCCCTTTGGTTGCCTGCATGGCTGTGTGGAATAAAGATTACCTTTCCAGCTTCACTTGCATCTAGATGTGGCCATCTGACTAAGTTCTAGCCAATGAGATGTCAATGGAAGTGTGAGCAACTTCCAGAATGCTGTTAAAGGAAGAGCAAGGTGTGTGCTGCTTCCTCCTGCCTGCCTTCCTGCTGGTTGGACTGTGGATGTGAGTTTCTCCTGTGAATCATGGAACTGTCCAATTAGAAGTCTATTTACTCTCGCCTTTATTTATAGGAGAGGGGAGTAAGCCATCTTATTAGAGCCTCTCTTATTTGGGGTTTTCTATCATTCATAACCTATTCCCACTCTGATACTTGAAACGTATGATAGTTTCTGCCTTTAAGTAATTTACATGTCCTTACACAAGATGCCCATGTAAGAAGGCAAATAATACTATATGAAAAGTCAGGAAATAATACAAGATGACATATTGCTTAAATACCAAGTTCTACATTAATCATAACCTAAAAGTAATATACAATATTAAAATATTTTCCTTTTCAGAATTGACTCAAAGTTCTTTCTCCATTTTATTTATATTTTCAGATTTTAATAATATGAATTCAGGTATCTATAGTGCATCTATTGTGTGCTAAGCACAGATCTGTAAGCTGAGGAAAGTGGTGAACAAGAGCTTACATTCATGTATTTGTGGGGGAGATACATAATCAGTAAAATATTAAGAATTTCAGAAACCGATAAGTACTATAAAAGAAATGAAAAGCATTAAAGAGAATGATTAGGGAACAGAACTACCTTAGGTAAGATGCATAAGGAAGGGCCTCTTTGAGGAGGTAACACTTGAAATGAGACCTGAAGGGTGGCAGCTATTTGAAAAATCAGGGGAAGAGCTCAAGTTGGGGAAAATAGAAGTGACCAATTAAGTAGGGGGAAAATAGGAGACTGTGGTGTGATGACAGCTAAGAGAAAAATGTCTCAAGAAGAGAGTGGTCAACTATATTTATTGTGATCCTTTTTTCATCAAAATGTGACCAAAGAAATCCATTAATCAAATGTTAGAGCCAAAAACCTAGGGGTACAAGTATCAGGAACCCAGAAACATTTTAGCTAGATAACTCACTTCTTCAAAGAAAAAACATAACTGGTATATAAGGCTGCATTTATTTTTCACAGCCTTGTTCAGATGTTGCTTCATTAACTAGAGTTAAATCACTTTTTCCTCTGTTTCTATACCTTTTACATCTTTCTACTATCATGTTTATTTTATCATATTTATCGTATTAAAATCTTTCCCTCCATGAGCTTCTGGAGGGGATGGAGTTTTATCTTTTGCTGTAGTTCAGGGACACGGATAATGACTACATAGGGTGACACAGCCGATACTGTGCACTTACCATAGTATCTTTGATAACTGTAGATGTCCAGCCTTCAACAAAAGTATAGAAAGGATGAACTTTGTCTCCATGAGGACAGTCAAAGCATCGCTCTGTGTCATACCCATAATTCAACAGCATCCTGAGCATGACTTCATCTTTCAGCGTGTATTGAAGTGCTGATGGGAAATGTAAAGGGTTGACTTTGCAGAAGTAATTAACGTTGGCCCCATGCCGTAGCAGCAGGCTTATCAGCTCATAGTTGCCCATCCTTAGGGCTACCTGGAGGCAGTTAACTGGGTCTTGATTAGGCAGAGCTCCAGCACTCAGAAGCAGCTTAACTGAAGAGAGGTCACCATTTGATACAGCAAAATACAAAGCTGACTTCCTGTGGTCATCATAGTGTTTGCGAATTCTCTGATCTAGCATGAAATTTACATCAAACCCAGACTGGATGAGAAGTTCCAGGCATTTGGGGTGTGCTCCTGCTGCTGCACAGTGAACTGGACTGATGCCACTCTGCTTAATGGCAGCAAAATCTGTGACTGGAACCAAAATCTTCAGAGCTCTGAGAAAGAATTTCAAAGTGCATTAAAAAATAGTTTTTGTTAAGATGCTGCATTGACCTGTATATGATTGCTTTATACTAGCACTGGATGGTATTAGCATCAGTTGGTTTTTAGACACCCCAACCAAAAAAAAGCATAGTCCTGCATCCAAAAACTCAGATACCACGTAAAGTTAAATGAAACTAAGGTGTAGATATAAAACTCAGAATTACCCCAGTCAGTGAAACCTGAGGCTCCCCATATTGCCAAACGACCTGAAAATAAAATAGTTTTATGTCTCTTCAGGGTCTACAGAGGATGTCTGAATTTACCACTTTTCTGGCTGGTCAAGAGTTTCTCACCTTTAAAAGGGGTGTTGGAGTTGTAGGATCAGAGATGAAGAATATAAAATTCCCAGAAGCTGCCCCCCCCTCCAAAACCCCATGGCTATTACTATTTCTATTATTTGCAATAATGTAGTTGAACTTACAACAAGTGGCCTCTGTCAGCTGCCACATGAATGGGCAGGTGGCCTGAATTCTTAGGGATGTTGGCATCAGCTCCATACTCCAGCAAGAGAGTTACAGAGTCTGGATTTCCTCCACTAGCTGCTTCAAGTAAGATGGAAGAAGAATCAGAGGCCTGACCAAGAGCATTAGCTCCTAGGAGGAGAAAGAGTGATGTTATGCAGAGTCTTTTCCACTGTATTGCTTAAGTATTCTTAAAAGTGTACCACCACTACCAAAAAGCAATTATTGAGCAGCTACTTTAGCAAAACACTAAGAATCAAAGACAAAATATGTACCTCCTGTCTCAGACAGTTTACAAACTAGTTGGGGAGAGAAAATGGTGTAAGCAGTCTCTAAGTTATAAGTAGGTTGGCTTTCAGAGTAATTTTATAAGTTATTTGTTTCTAACTTAAAAATCCCAGGAGAAGTAATTTTATAGAAGATGGTTTTATTTCCAGACCAGCATACAAAAGCTCGCTTACCTCATAACACACTATAAGATGGTCTAACAATCCTGTTGAACTATGTCACCATGACATCTAATGAAGATCTTACGGTGGAAAAGTGTATTTGTTCTTTTTAACTTGTTCCTAGGAGACTGTTCATACTAAGAGACACTAGCTGTTTTTAGTTGAAGATAGGGACTGCTGATAGTTAAAAGGGTATATTGTAGTACCCTGTAAGCTAAGTGCTGTGTGAGTGGTGTGGATAATAAGAGTACAGATACAGGCTGTCTTCTTGAAGATCTCAGGGCTGGAGTTGTGAGCAGGGCTGGGAGGTGAAGGAAGGAGGGAGGAATTTGGGGTCAGTTGTGGAAGGCCTCTCAGTAAAGGCTTTGAAGAAAGAGTAGCATTCGAATGGACAAAAGAATAGGAGGACACTCTGGGCACCTTCACAACTCATATAAAAAAGATATAGTGACTTTAGTGTGGACTCCATAATCTTCAGAATATAAGGACTCTAATATTTATTGACTGTCTTGCATGTGTAAGCAGTAAGCCAAAGCCCATTTAAGGTGTATGTTGGCTCATCACAGTCATTTGTTCTTCTCTGTTCTTTATTTTGGCAATATCATCCACATACAAATTCTATTTCAATATATTATTCCTAATTTATATGGTGTCATTGTGCTTTACATGGAATGGCACTCTATTGCTGTTTCAACTTGGAGGAAACTAAAAGATCTTTCTTCATGGAAAAGATTATGATGAATCAGATCTCAGTCTTAAAAGCTCATATAGTTTTAGATGCAAAACTCCAGACTTAAGTGGAGTTGTACCGTAGGAGGAGAGATGAAAGTGACTTCAGTCTTTGGAAAATTATGTCCCCTCCTTACAAGTGCAGAATGGGGTACCCAAATGATGCCATTCATTGAATAATCCATCTTGAAAATGAATTCCTAGAAGACAGATTATCATCTCTATGTTCTGGAAGGAATCCATAAAATGCTTCCTACAGAAGAATTCTCACTGTAGCATTTGATGAGGAATAATCCATTTTAGGTGAGTGTTCTCTTAGTGAAAGTTCTACATAGAACTATGAGAAATCTATTATATGCACCATGTTTTTTCTTTTACTGAAGAACTTATTCACATTTTTTGCTAATACACATAATATATATGTCCTGATTATCATCGCTCAATTAGATAACCCCTTCCTGCATATTTTTGTCTAATTGAAAAATTTGTAAATGGATTAAAATATTTTGAAAATTAAAAAAAAAGAATATAGTGGCTCCCCCAGAACCCCATTCCTAGAATGCATTAAGAAATGTCTAATAAGCCCCCATGTAATGAGTACTCACTATGTGCTGGTTTCTTTATGTATGTAATAATTTCTAAACTTCACAACAACCCTAGGAAGTAGATGCTAATATCTTCATTTTAAAGATGAAGAAACTGAGTTTCATTGAGATTAAATTACTTCACCAGAGATGCACAACTAGTAAGCAAGGTAGTCGGGATTCATGTACAGGTGGGCCAGACCCAGGTGCTATTTCTATGATGCCATGTTGCCACTCTAGCAGTGCAGGGTAATAAAGTAATGTGATTTGGAATGAGACAGAAGTGGGTTCAAAGCTTGGCTCTTCTATTTAGTAGCTGTGTGCAAATGACTATAAGGGGCTTACCTAAGGGAAATGCTCCCTCACTGACCTCACTGAGGTCAACCGATACTGGTTTCTTTGAAAGGTTAAGGATTTAAAATCTGTCGCCTCTCCTGTTTCTTTATATTTTAATCAATGATCTACACAAAAGGTTGCTCTTTTTGTGTAGATGAAGGATCCAGTGTTTACTTTGTTATTCCAGCTAATAACTTTAGACATCTCTGGTATCACTCATTTAAAACATCTTACTTAAAAGGTCTTATGGCCATTGATTGGGAACTAGCCTCCCCTATATGATAGGAAAGATTTAGGTAAGTCTAGAAAGCAGAAAGTTGTTCTTAAATGTAGGAGTCCCTGCAGTCTAGAAAATTGGACACCAGGACCGTCTATTGTTAGAGAAAGAAATAAGACTTCTGGATGCAAATGGGGAGGAGAATAAAGAAGATAATTCTAATATTGGGACTTTATTAAATCTTGGTAAAGATTTGCTTCTTCGAAAAAAAGAAGATATTACACTGCTTCTTCTAACAGTGTCATCAATGAGGGTCTCCTCAAAGACAGTTCTCTGAGCTAGGATCTCTGCCAGTTAAACCAGGATATAAGATGGCCACAGCTATAGCACGGGTGGCAGGGGAGGGAGTGTTTGAAGGGAAGTTCTACAACTGGTACCATCCCTGACCCTCACTTTCCTCAAGGGTAAAATGAGGATAATGCCTACCTCACAGGGTTTGTAGAAGATTATTTGAGATAAAATAAGTAACTTAATACCTGGTGCTTAGAGAGTACTCAATACATATAAATTGCCTTCCCCTTCTCTCAGAGTTTTGTTTATTACTAGAGGGGAGAACTGGGACCCAAAGAGAAGAAATCAGGAAGAATTTCCTAACAACTTAATTCATCTGGTAACAGGTTGGACTGCCTCATAACTTAGCTTAGGCAGAGACAACGTGAAGGGGATGTTGTGGAGTGTTTCATTCTATGAATCTAGAAAAGAACACCACCACACAAAAAATTAAACAAAAAACAACCATCCTCTTAACATGGTCAGGGTACATTAAATAAAAGAGTAACCTGCATCCTAGTAATTTTAGGGAAACTGCTTCACAGCAAATAAGAAATATTCAATCCCTATTTTAGGCTCTTTCAATAGCTTATATTAACACACACTTCAATAAAATATTAAGTTAGGCTTAAATAAAATGTTAACTTCTATTACACTGAAGCTCTCCATAAAGAGGAGAATGCTTAGGTCATGTTATCCTTTAGTAGTGTGCTGACTGTATAGGAAAATCTTGCCTTTCTGCAGTAATAGTTCCATGGTTTTAGTGTGTCCGCTTTGGGCAGCAAGAGCAAGAGGAGTGAATCCGTAGGAGCTCTTTGGGTCAGGGTGGGCCCCAGAAACCAGCAGGAGCTTCACTATGTCCCGTCTGCCCAGCCTGGCTGCTTCGTGGAGAGCTGTCTTCTCATTGACACACCGCAGATTGACATCTGCTCCATGGCTGATCAGCAAGGCGGCCATATCGTAGGAGTCCTGTAGAACAGCTGGGAGATTAGAAGTGAGGGAGGCATCATGTTCAACCGGAAATTAAGGCCAGAGTATCAGATCAGCTAGTTTCCCTCAGGCTTCTTAAGGAGTTCTTCCTACCTATCCCCCATGTACCAGCATTTGGTGTTTAGGAAACGGATTGTAAAATGAGGCATATATCAAATAATATTAATAGTGTTTTACATCAATAGGGTATTTGCTTTTCTGTAAACCATGACCAATTATTCATTGTGTGTTGGCTGCTTATGTAGCTGAAAAACAAAGTTTTCATTTATCATCTTTATGTTCTCAAGAAAATGGGAACTTAAGTACCTAGTACAGTCCTAGAAACGTTTGTAGCTGCTTTACATGAGGAAAAACAAAAACAGCAATAATTAGGAAATTATTGTTAACCTCACATTTTGTTAACCAATATTCTCTAATTGGCATTTCTGCATTTCTGCTGTTAATTTGCATTGGATGATAATCTTTAGTCCTTCAAGATTCTAGAGCACCTTAATTTATCCATCTCCCTATCCATTTGCTAATTGTTGGCACCAGCTGTGTTTGGGGAATCTTGCTAGGCGTTAGACACTGAATCAGCATGAATTCTGCTCACAGCCATTTATAATGTACCATATCAAGGGCTATAACTGCACTAAGACTAGGAATATAGAGCGCCAAGAGTGTTGGGTCTTTTGTAATTCATTGAGCTGGCACTTCGTGTGCTCTTTCATTCTGGAAGGATGAAACATGTCCTTCGTTTTAGGAAATAATTTTCTAGACTTGTCTCATTGACAGTATATTGCCTCTATGTTGTCTGTTCTCTTTCTACCATTCCTGTTACTCACAGGCTGCTCCTCTTCAGTTATCATCCTAGTTCTCTTAGTTATTCTTCTTACTGATTTTTCATTTCTTATCTTCTTCTTCTGGAAGCTTTCCTAACTTTATCTCCTCGCATTTGAGTTTTTTTAAATTTCTGCCATCATAGTTTTCATTTTCAAGAGTGTTTTCTGTTTTGTTCTTCATTTTTTTTTTAGTAGTGTCCTGCTAGTTCATTAATTTTCATTGATTTCTCTGAGGAAATTAATGATAATTTCCCCCTACCTTTTATTTTCCCCTAAATAATCTGTTTCCTCCAAGTTGTTTATCTTTGTTTGTTGAAGACTTTCCTCAGATAGTCCTTGGATGTCTGCTCATGATTAAGAGCTGGGGACTAAAAATCTGCCTAGAAATTCTAAACATTGACTGTGGTCTTAACTGTAGGTTAATATGCCTGGGCTATTTGTTGGGGAACCTCCAGTTTTAGTATTTTTAGTTCTTTCTCTTCGAGCTGATCAGATTCTCCAAAGAAGCCTCCTCTTGGAGAGTGAAGTTCTAGCTGCTGGCTTTCTAGAATTTGGTGAAGAACTGGGAGATCTCAGCCTATGTGCTTAATTCCTCCAGTGTTTTCAATCCAGTGCTCTTGCCCTTGCCAAATAACCCCCAGTCCAGAGAGCCTTTGCTCACACTATTCAGAGAAAAAACTTCCGAAATTCTGCTGGGTGGGGGAAGAGTCTGACCCAGCAGGGTGGATTGAGAGAAGTGATCTAGATACCTGACTACTTGTTTCTTAATAGTTTTCAACCAATTTTTCTATTTTAGCTGCCCATCCTTCATCCCTGCTCCATGAGGTAACTATAGCCAACAATTTCCAGGCCTTTTGATATAACTGTGCTGGTTTTTTGGCTTTCCCCACTTCAAGTTAAGATTTGGCTTTCTTGACACTTACTACTCATCCATCTGCTCTTCTGATTTTTAAAAATCATGTTATTGTTGTCTCCTCTTCCATTCTTCCCATTCTTTGTATCTTAACCCTTTAAAACACTTGACGAACTGTAATCCTCCTGAAGACTCAGGAGGCAGCAAAATTACTCATTCATATTTAATCTGCCATCTTTACCCAACCATTGGGTGCTTCTTCCTACTCTGCTCCTTTCCTATATTTCTTATACGAGAATTAACTTGTTCAACTGACATACCATGTAAAAATGATCAGCTCATAACTGGGCAGAGACTTTCCCTCAGGCCACCTCACAGGCCAGCCTATATAAAGCTTCTTGAGGGTCAGGTACCCATGTGTGGTTATTTGGCACCAGAGTGACACTGCTGCAACTATGCACAAGAAACTGCCTTTGAAACCTGTGGGCCTGGAGGACACTCAGAGCCACAGACTGTTCTCCAGAGCTAACGTGTTAATTTACCTGTAAGAAGAGGAGAATTGCCTTCGACATTCTTGGCATTTGGATTGCAGCCATTGAGAAGAAGAAAACAGACATTTTCTAAGAGGCAATGGCTGACAGCCAAAAAAAGTGGTGTTTCACCATTGTTGGTGGTTTGCTCCCACACACTGGGTTTTGAAGCTGAAATAAATCCATTAGACCACACAGATTAAGATACAGAAATAAATTTTAAATTTATTTCTCAGAAGCATCAATAAGAGTTATAAAGGGAGTTTACCTTTCAGGGTTATTTCCAAAATGTTCTTATTTAATTGCACTGCAGCCTTATGGAGAGGAAGCCAGCCTATCTCATCTGCTTCATCAAAAGCAGAATGGTACTTGGTCAACCCTGACAATACATCTTCCTTACCTATTAACAAGTCAAATGAGAACATATTCACATTTGGCACATATACAAGGCAGCCCATACTGCTTCTGAATTCCATCATCAAGGTTAGTGCATGAGACAACAGTATTCTAGCACTACCTTTAATGAAAGACAAATTTAAATGGCATAGGACAAACAAGCAGTAAGGCCTTTCATCTAGCATTCCATACCACCTAGACCTGTGAATACCCGTCATCTTGTTACATACAGAAAACAGCTCTGTCCACCGAGGAGCCCAGGAGCTGTTTGCTAAATTTTGCTGAAGTAGTTTCTCCCAGGAAAGGCCCCATCAGACTCTTGACAATTAGCTGTTGACCCCATAGTGTTCGGCACTTGGGAGATCCTGCTTCTAGGCTTCCTGAACTTAGAGGGGAAATGCTACCAGTTGTCACCATTACATCTTACCACAAGTTGAAGGGGATAGAATAGGAAGAGTACTTAACTGTCTCTATTGTTTCAACTATCCTCTTACAGTCTGCAATCAAAAAGCTGCAGAGAAAAAAACATATGAATGTAATTCCAAAACTGAGGAAAAAACTAAGGCATTTGATAAAACAAAAGGAAGGGGTAAAGGCAATAGTAGTTAACCAGGAATGAACTCATATGAGGCAATGACTGAGGCATAATAGAAATACTTCAAAACGCAAGAGGGAGGAGATACGGGGATATATGTATATGTATAGCTGATTCACTTTGTTATAAAGCAGAAACTAACACACCATTGTAAAGCAATTATACTCCAATAAAGATGTTTCAAAAAATAAATAAATAAAAGATATATATATATATATATTCAGAAAAAAAAAAGGAAAAAGAAAACGTAGTATGGCCCTTAATGTGTTCCAGGGAAACTCCCCTCCCATGTGTCTTCCCTCATCAGCTTCTTTAGGGCAAGAACTTTGAGAGCCTGGATTACAGTTAGCCTTCAATCAGTGTCTGCTGAACTGAATCAAACATGCCTAGGACTGAAATGTCACATTGTCACATGGTAAAATTTAAATGGCCACTCTATAATGTCAATGATTCTAGCAAAAATTATTATTTAAAAAAATAGTAAATAATCATGGTGTAAGTTTTAAAAAATATTCATGATCAGAATCTGTATTCAAAAAACACAATCAGCAGTTTTTTAAAGTAATATTTTTATTAAAATATTTAAAGTTTTAAAGCTCAACTTATAAATCTTATATTATTTTAAACTCTAGTAAATAAGGATTGTCACCTTCCCTTTTTCTTTGATTATTCAATGAACCCAGCTTGAAAGAAATAAATTCCCTTAGACAATCTGTCCTACTTAAAATTTAGTCAATATCCCTATCTTAAAGTCAACTGATTAGCAACCTTAATTCGATCTGCAGCCTTAATTCTCCATTGCCATGTAAGGTTACATATCCACAGGTTCTGGGGATTAGGACTTGGGACATCTTTTGGTGAGGGGGGGCTTTATTGCTCCTGTCTCAAGTATATTCTATTTTCCTAATTCCTTCAAGTGCCTGATCAAATCAGCAAGCCTTGCTAAGTATCATACAATTCTTGCAAGTCTAATGACTGAAATTTATAACTGTAGTCAATTTTAATTTCTTTGAAACATTTCAGTACTCTTAATCAAAATCTCTTATGCCTTTCAACCTAAAATCATGACTTCAAAGTTAATCACAAGGTTTAATCACAAGGTTAATACAACAGGTAACCCAATGAAATCCAATTTATTTACAAAACTTTTAACTATTTAAAGATTATTCCTAAATTTAACATAAAAGTGTAGGAATAGTGTAGTAAAGAATGCAGACTCTGAAGCCAGGCTGCCTGGCTCATTACTTACTAGCTCTGTGACCTTGGGTAAGTCATTTAATTTCTCTATGCTATGCCTCAGTCGCCTCATCTCTAAATGGGGAAAATAATAGTACCTACCACATAGAGAGGTAACGAGAATTAGAATTTAAATGAGTTAATACATATTTATGAAATGCTCAGAATAGTGTGGCATACAGTGATCACTCCATGAGTATGTTACTTAAAAAAAAAATACTGTAGGTTTGATATACTCCAACATCTCTGTATTTAATTACAAAATCTCTTGGGGTTAAAACACATTTATCCCATTTTACCTCCATCAGGCAAATAGAGGTCACCACCCCAAGCAAATGGGTTTAATACCCCTGAAAAATAATTGTAACTACTCAGGGGCTTGAAGTTGCTGATCACCCAGAGAGCATTTGACTAGCTGTGCTTGGCCGCAGACAGCCCATATCCAGGGCAATTCTCTTACTCCACTGAGGGATCCATGGGGTCCTTTTCTAGTGTTGTCATACCAGAACTCTGAGTTCACACCCTTCAGAAGGGGTTAGTCTCTTCTGGGTTTAAGTTTACATGATTACTCCTTTTGATTTGAGTAGATTAAAGACTTTACCCTACTAAGGTTTCTGTGTCTTGGTTGGATTTATGCATTTCCTTAGCTCCCCAAAGAAAAGATGCATTAGTGTTCTCTAGTCTTACATATCCTCATGTATTTCTTCTTTCTGATTTCTCATCTGCCTCTCCTCACCCATATTTGCTAGTAACCTCCTCCAACTATTTTCTTTTTTTTTAAAATTAATTTTTATTGGAGTATGGTTGCTTTACAATGTTGTGTTAGCCTCCACTGCACTACAAAATGAATCAGCCATATACATACAGATATCCCCTCCCTTTTGGACTTCCTTCCCATTTAGGTTACCACAGTGCATTAGGTAGAGTTCCTTGTGCTATAAAGTATGTTCCTATCAGTTGTCTATTTTATACATAGTATCAATAATATCAATGTGTCAGTCCCAGTCTTCCAATTCCTCCCTCCCCACCCCCTTCCCCTTTGGTATCCATACATTTGTTCTCTATGTCTACGTCTGTATTTCTGCTTTGCACATAAGGTCACTGATACCATTTTTCTAGATTCCACATACATGTGTTAATATAAAATACTTGTTTTTTTTCTCTTTCTGACTTACTTCACTCTGTGTGACAGTCTCTAGGTCCATCCATGTCTCTACAAATGACCCAATTTCGTTCCTTTTTATGGCTGAGTAATATTCCATTGTATATATGTGCCACATCTTCTTTATCCACTCCTCTGTTGATGGACATTTAGGTTGCTTCCATGTCCTGGCTATTATTTTCTTTACTGCCTGATTAAATTCTGAATTATTTCCAAATTTCTCCTGTCTGGTCACACATCAAGCCTCATAGATATTCAGCTCCTTGGATTCTGACCCTCTCTTCTGTTTTTGTCACACTAGCATCAGTGCTTATGACAAGGCTCAACTGTTGAATACTTATACTATGTTGCCAGTGAGATACCATTACCTCTCATCTTCAGGTGACTGCTGTGTAGTTTCCGGCTTGTGAATATCCTGTAAACTCTGTTGAATGATGAGCTGGGTGTCAAACTCATTGTCTATGTCTTCATCACTGGTGTAATTATCCATGTGAAATGCAGACAGATTTACTTTAAAGTCAAAATGAATTAAAAATATTTTTCCAGTTGTGAAAGATTATCAACTGATTAAAATTATAAATGAAATTCAGAAAACTAAAAAATTAATAGGATTGATAAATGAAAAAGTGCAAAATTTAGAACACAAAATATTCATTAAAAATTTTTTTGAAAACCCCAAACAGTTTTCTGAACTGACACAGATTCAACATAAATTAAAAGTTTTCCATGAGCAGCCATCTACTTAAAGCTTATTCAGGAAACACAACCTTTCATATAAAACTTAGGTCAGTGCCATTGTAACTATGAAAATGTTCATATCAATCTATTTTAAACTTGGCTTATGAGTTTTTCTCATTAATTGCAGCTCTCACTCCAAAGAATATCTTTCCTACACGCAGGGAGTATAATGCTGAAAATAATATTTTATTTAGTTAGTAAATACTAAAAATAAACATGTTATAGGAATAAATATATTCTCATAACATGTAACAGGAATAGTGGGGAAAAAAACCCCAATATATTTTACTAGGCAACATCTCAATGGTATTAAAAGAACATTTCAGTTTTAGCATAGAATAGGTTTGATCACATACCAAAGACTTTTTACCTTTTATTATATCCTTTAGGACAGCACTGAAGTTTTCACTGTTAAGGATTAGCACATCAGAATTTTCATTTATATTTAGGATCTCCACTCCCGTGTAGTGACCATTCCATTAATAGCTTTACTATAAATACTTGATCATAAGACAGTCTGGCACATTCTCCCTGTTTTTTATATGTGGTTTAGCTCTGTTTGAAAACATGATCTCTTTTTTTCACTGCTGTATTCATTAAATTTAAAAGATTAAACATTCTATTCCTGGAATAAAATGCTTTTGCAGGGGGTTGGCCATGTGAAGTGAATTCGTTCTCTTAGGGCTCATGCACATAGACACTACAAACCAGAATCAATTTTCTACTTAAGAGAGGCCAAACATTTTGCACTGACTGAATTATCAAAAGTGACTGTCCCAATGGTCCTGATTCACTGGGATGCTGCACCTACATTTTCTTTGGATTACACAGCTGCGGCCTAAAATGTCCAGGGACTCCTAAGGAAGGAATAAAAGATAATAAAATAAGATAATAAAAACATGGTAATAAAATTTTGACTATAATTTTGTTTTGTTGAAATGTTTAAAAATTGTTAATATACACTAATAACTTTAAGTGCATACTAAATAATAATAAGAATAACTACTAAAAATAACAAAGAGCCCACCTGGCATTTCCAATTAAATACGAAGCAGATGCCAAGAAGCATGATACCACCTCAAGTGTGTAGGATTTCCCTCCAGTCATCTCACTGCCTTTGCATGTCAATTCACTGCTTTGCGTTTCCTTTCCTTGTCACAGGGGTACTGTGAGAAATGGAACTAATGTTTTAAAAGTATGAAGAAAGGGGTTTCAGTCTGAAATTGTTTCAACATTTTCCTTATTTACAATTTATTTATTTTTGTATTTGAAATGTTTGTGTATAATCACTTCACATAGGTGAGTGGAAATTATTACTGAAGCTGATGAAATGACTTAACACTTGTGAAACAGATAATTTCTGATATTAGTTAAATTTTATCCAGTCTTCCTAAATCTGTTTTTCACATATATATCAAACTAAAAAGAGGAACTAAATAAAAGTTTCAAAGATTTTCCACATTTCTTTTCACGTTTTTCTTCCACAGATGTCTGTGATCTTGAGAGTCCATGTGGAAGGCTGTGCTCCAGTTGAGACTGGTACATCAGGGAGGAGAACCATGCAAAGACCACTCACAAAGATCATTTAAAAGAATTACACCAAGATGCTTGGGTTTTATAATATATATATTTTCAAGTAAGTGAAGGCAATTTTTTTTAACTTCTTTCAGATGTTTTCTTAATTTGTCCAATTTAGTCATCCAACTGACAAAGCAGAGCAACCCCACGTTTGATCCAGTGTTGAGTGGGTTGGTCTGTTTTCAACAGCATTGCAATGACAAAATTAGTCGAATGTCCTGTGGTGGAAAGAGTTCCTTTACGTTCACTTGTCTTGTAAAGAGGACAGACATAAGCATTCGACTTCACAATCTCAGACTTTTTAGCTTGAAGAAAAAGGAAATATATTCATTTGATAAAAGGAAAACAGCCACTGGTACTAAAAGAACAACTATTTATCTTGTAATAAAATGACCAGTACTAAATCTAAGATCATGATTATGATATTGAACATTTTAAAGTTATTATTGTTGTGTTTTTACAGTTGGCATATAATTATGGTTGAGAAACAAGGTAAATGATTTCATATGGTGCATGATTCTAGGTCTGGAGGACAGGAATTGATTTTAAAGACCTGATCACTTAGCAGGTATGAAAACACTCAAGAGGACTTGGGAGAGAAGGAGAAATTAGGGAAGAAGGAATGAAATACAGCATAGGTAATGGAGCAGATGCAGAAAGAGAAACACAGCTGCTTAGAGCTCTAATACAAGAAATCCATAAATTAGAAGCTGAAGTTACTATTTTTTTTCAGCAGGTTATTACTAAGAAAAATATACCAACTCTTACCTACTCACAGAAAGAATCTATACACAATCCTTGAAAAGCCAGATATGAGATATTAGGAATCCTTCTAAACTGAAGCCACATTTGTCATAGTTATAAATGAACTGCTTTAATAATAAAAAATGCTTAATGGGTTGAGTGGTGATTGGGTAATTTATAAATTTTTCATTTATAGTTATTTGAGAAATAAAAAATAGAGAAGAAAGAAAAAACAAAAGAATGAGCTTCAATTGTTCAGATTTGGTGGGGAAATGATGATTGCAGAAGGAGGGAAGGAACAAGTAGGTTTCCCAAGGGGGCAAAATTGGCCTCCACCCCGTGTGGCTTGCAACATCTGTACCTTGGGGCACCTGGCTGGCTCCTAGGCCTAGGAGTTTCTTATAGCCAGAAAACTCTAGTCATTAGCTGGAGACTGTGTCAAGCCTATTTGTGTCTCTGAGAGGTATGCAAAGGTACTTCAGAATCAAAATATTGATGGGAAGCTCTAGACTGAAAAAGGAGAAGTGTAGCAGAGGGGAAAAGGAAACATTATATCCCATGGGATAAGAGCAAAAAGAGGCAGAATAATATTCCTAAAATAATATAAATGCAACCCAAAAAGGCAGAACAATATATTTCCATTGTAAACATTAAGTCACTATTTACTATAATTGAACAAAATCGTAATAGGTTTGAACAGAGACTTATTTGGGGAAGCAGTTATAATATCTATCATTATCTTTCCTAAAACTCTACAAAGTTCTATTAGAAATATATTTACTTGGTTTTATCCATATTATGGGCATCAGGTCAAACAGAAGTTTGGGGTATTGTTCGGCAAGCAATCCGCTGTGAAGAGAAATTGACAGACGTTTATTAGAAATAAAATAAAATTTGCATCTTAGAAATTGCTACTTAGCTATTGGCTTTTAATACAAGAGAGGACCAGAGATATGCAGGAAAAGAAATGTAAAAACAAAACCAAACAAAACCAAGGAAGAGGCAATGAAGAATCGAGAGAAACAGAAGAAAAATATGGAAAGGCAATGTGTCAAACAGTGGACAAATATCAATTCCTGCCATTTTAAAAGCACTGTCCATGAGGCAGACACTATGCTGTCACATTTAACCTTCTCAATAGTCTTGTCCCCATTTCTAATCCTATTTCAGAGATGAAGAGTGGAAGGAAGCTCAGAGAGATTGAGTACTTTTCTCACAGTAACACAGCTCTTAAATGCCAGCATGAGGATTCAAACACAGATCTATCTATCTAGAAAATGTGGTTTATTTTCCCTATGCTACATTGTTTGTTTCTTTGCTTGCTTGTTTGCTTGCAAGAGGAGGGAAGAAAGGGATGAAAAGATGAATACATATATAAGGAAACGTAAGTTAAGAGAAATGTCAGCAGAATGATGAAAATGAAAAGAGAAATAATCAAATGAACTATGTGCAGCTAAGTCTCCTCATATCACTGTCTTAGAACCATCTCTGTAAAACCACCTTCATGCTCCTTCTTAAGTGACTTTCCCTGCCTCGGGCTTTAACCCTCCCTTGAGAGCAAAGTGTAACCCTGACTCTGGAAATAGAAGATTATGCTTAGTAATGGATTGTTAAAGAGCAGGGCTTCAAGGGAAATAATCTTTCCCTTTCTCATATGTCTCTCTGTGTGTATATAAATATATATATACACACATATGCACTGTTTAGTTTCCTAAGCTGGAAATTCAGTATTTATTTAAAATATGTACTTATTATGTCATCAAAATGCAAGAAACAGTTTTCCATTCACCAGGAGAAATGGGAACTTTACTATAAACTGTTTGAAACTGAGGTGCTCCTACACATTACCAAACAGAATGTAACTGTTATAAAATAGAAGAAGGAAAATAATTTCAACTAACTTTTCTACTAGTAAGACCATTGAAATATTAACTCAAAATTGTTCAGAACCTGAAATTACTCACTCATTAACTGTCCGAGCCTGAGTAATGACTTATGGCAAGAATTCTGATATTATTTATTACTTGTCGTATTCTCTAGAAGAAGTCTTTTGGTTGATGGGGATGGCAGGGGGGAAAGGTAGCAGACAGCTTATCTCACCTATGATTCAACTACAAATGAATAGGTCTTTGCAGTTGAAACTACTGACCTTGTTCTGTCCCAGCGTGCTCCATCCAGATATAATCCGTGGATATAAACGCCATTTTCTGGTGTTCCCTCAGATGTATCAGAAGAAATAACCTGAAGGCAGAAGCACACACTAGCAATGATTTCCTCCCTAGCAACTTTGTCTCATAAAGAAAGCAGTAGCTAAATCTTCAGAACATATTCAGGGAAACTCCTCCATATAATAGCTTCTTAAACTGTAAGACTTTTTCAGTAAAATGTAAATCTAAAAATATATAATACGATTCCTTTTGACATATTTTA